CGCAGAGAGGCAGCAAGGAAAGGACGCCCTAAACCCTAAACCCTAAACCCTGAACCCTGAACCCTAAACCCCCCTAAACCCTAAACCCCAAATCCTGAACCCTAATGTTGGACCTGCTTTAATAAGTTACCCCCCCCCCCCCCCCCCCTCAACAGTCGCGACCCTGAATAAAAAAAGACCCCAAACAGTCAGGCAGGGAGGGGTCCGGAGCCCGGAGGCCTCCCTAAGCTACCCCCCCCGACCCTGGAAAGGTCGAGGCTTCAGGCTTCAAGTATCCCTTCTTCTCGAGAAAGCTTATGCCTTCCTGAAAACCGAAGGACTGAGCCCCGGGCCCCGGGAGACTTGCATTATAGCGGGCCCCCAAACAAAGGTATTAAAGTGTGTCCGGAGGCCTCCGTAAGGTACCCCCTTTCCGGATATGATTCGCCTATGGAATCATCTAGTTTTAAGTAAGGAATTTATAAAGAAAAGGCGCCCTGAAAAAAGAAGATTGTCGGAGATCCTGGACAGGTCGAGGCTTCAGGCTTCAAGTATCCCTCCTTCTCGAGAAAGCTTATGCCTTCCTGAAAACCGAAGGACTGAGCCCCTGGCCCCGGAAGACTTGCATTATAGCGGGCCCCCAAATGCCAAACAAAGGTATTAAAGTGTGTCCGGAGGCCTCCGTAAGGTACCCCCTTTCCGGATATGATTCGCCTATGGAATCATCTAGTTTTAAGTAAGGAATTTATAAAGAAAAGGCGCCCTGAAAAAAGAAGATTGTCGGAGATCCTGGACAGGTCGAGGCTTCAGGCTTCAAGTATCTCTCCTTCTCGAGAAGCTTATGCCTTCCGGACACCCTCAAAAAAACAGTCACGGCCCGAAAACTTTTCATTATAGCGGACCTCCAAAACAAAGGGTCCAGATCCTGAATAGCCGAAAAACTTTTCATAATAGCGGCCCCCTAGAATATTGCGGGTGCAACATTAAGCCCTAAACCCTAAACCCTAAACCCTAAACCCTAAGCCCTAAACCCTAAACCCTAAACCCTAAACCCTAAACCCTAAACTCTAAACTCTAAACCCTAAACTCTAAACTCTAAACTCTAAACTCTAAACTCTAAACCCTAAACCCTAAACCCTAAACCCTAAACCCTAAACCCTAAACCTCTAACCCTCTAACCCTCTAACCCTCTAAACCCCTAAACCCTAAGCCCCCAAAGCCCCCCAAGCCCCCCAAGCCTACAAGCGCTAAAGGCTTCAACAGCCCCCGCCCTGATGAGCCTCGAAATCCCTAAACCTGAGGCCCAGAGTAGGCCCTTGCCCTTCTTCGTCCTCGGGTTCTCTTTGGTCTAGCAGCTCTTCGGGTAGTTACATGGTCAGTACGGGGGGCCCCGTATACACCCCGTATATACCCCGTATATACCCCGTATATACCCCGTATATACCCTCTACAAATTAAGGGCCCATACTTCAGAAGGTTAGGGACCATATTATTCAGGGCCCACGAAGTCAACCCTAAACCCTCAACCCTAAACCCTAAACCCTAAACCCTAAACCCTAAGCCCTAAACCCTAAACCCTAAACCCTAAACCCTTTAAGGGAGGTTAGGGACCACATTGAGGGCCCATGAAGCTACCCTCAGATGGCAGCTGAGGAGAAGGATCCCAAGCCGAAGTTCGACAGCGAAGGCCACTGGCCACGTCGGTTTAGTGTTTCGGGTTTTTAGGGTTTAGGGTTTAGGGTTTAGGGCCTAGGGTTTAGGGTTTAGGGTTTAGGGTTTAGGGTTTAGGGTTTAGGGTTTAGGGTTTGTAGTGCATAAAGGGTTTAGGGTTTTGGGTGTTTAGGGTTCAGGGTTTAGGGCTCTGTCATAGATTAATTCATTTTTGGTGTTTCAATTTACTTCACTTCTCCTTAGGAGCTCATTTCTTAGTAACTTTTTGGACAGCTTGTTTGACTGCTGGTTTCTTTGAAGCAGCTCGAGCTCGCGTACCCTGATTCACTGCAGGCTTTTGCCACGTCAAGGCGATTCCACAGGCAGAATCGCTAGTTTGGCAAACCCTAAGCCCTAAAACCTAAACCCTAAATCCTAAACTTTTTTCGTTTCAGGGACCTTACCGAAGAAACCTAAACAGCTTCAATCCTGGAGACGCTCGAAACGAGGCTGGAGCCCGAAGCCCTGAACCCTGAACCCTAAACCCTAGACCCCAAACCCTAAACCCTGAACCCCAAACCCCAAACCCCAAACCCCAAACCCCAAACCCTAAACCCTAAACCCTAAACCCTAAACCCTAAACCCTAAACCCTAAACCCTAAACCCTAAACCCTAAACCCTAAACCCTAAACCCTAAACCCTAAACCCTAAACCCTAACCCCTAAACCCTAAACCCTAAACCCTAAACCCGCCCCCGAACTTCGACCGGAGGGTTTTGGGGGGACCTGTTGAAAGAGAAGCAAGCCCTTAGAACAAAAACAGGGGAGACTTGAGGGTTCTACGAAAGTGAGTCCTTCAAGGGGTACAACCTTAGGGGTGTGTAGGGGGTTTGGGGTTCAGGGGTTGAGGAGTTTTAGGGTGGAGGGCTAGGGGCTTAGGGTTTAGGGTTCCAGGGTTCAAGGGTTCTAGGGTTCTAGGGCTCCAGGGCTCCAGGGGTCTAGGGCTCTAGGGCTCCAAGGGTCCCAAGCCCATGAGCCCCCCAAAACCCTGCGAAGAGGCGCCACGGCCGCGTTCTGGAAGCGGCTTCTCTACTGGACCGTGGTCATGCTGCTGCTCGTCAGTTTCGGTGGTGAGTAGGGGCATTCGTGGGGGGACGAAAGGTCTGATAGGGTTTAGGGTTTGGGGTTTGGGGTTTAGGGTTTGGGGTTGAAATAGGGTTTAGGGTTCAGGGTTAGGGTTGAGGCATAAATTCTAGGGTATTGTAGGGCATTAAAATTTAGGGCATTATCGGGCTAGAGGGTGTTGGGGTATTGGGGCATTTTGGGGTATCAGGGTAATCGGGTACAAGTTGGGTATTTGGGTACTCTGAGACTTAAATCCAAAGACACCACCCTTGGCAAACTCCGATCCCCCGAAATTTGGACCCCACATTTTTTCAGCGGTACGTTGAGATAAGGAACATCCCTACGTTGGATGGGCCCATCACTACCCTAAACCCGAAACCCGAAATCCGAAACCCTAAGCCCTAAACCCTAAACACTAAGCCCTAAGCCCAAAACTCTAAACCCTTCACCCTAAACCCTAACCCCCCCTCCCATTTTCTAAATCTTAATCTATTTCGCAACCCTAAGCCCTGAGCGCCCAAGCCCTCACAGGCCTCCAGCCCCCCTTGTCACTGCTCTGTCTGAGGTTCTGCTTCCTGGGCGAGGTCTACGTGGTTTTCCCAGTGATGCCTCTTTGCGGCATGTATTGGCGTTTAGGGTCTAGGGTTTAAGGTTTTAGGGTTTAGGGTTTTAGGGAGGGGGTGGGGGGTCAGGGTTTTGGGTTTTGGGGCAGGGTTCACCGGAGCTGCGCTGGAGTTTCGGTCTCCTGCAGCATGGGAAGCTCTGCAGCAGACCCATTCTAAACAGGCCCTATACTACGGGGCTGTCGTTGGGTACGGGGGTTTCGGAGGATCCTGTAAATGGCAAGCGCCACGAGCCCTCAGCCATGTGGGCCAAGTTTAGAAGCCAAGGGCCTTCCTGGCTAAACCCTAAACACCCTCCACCCTGAACCCTAAACCCTGGACCCTGCACACTCAGCTCTCCAACCCAGCAAGGCCTGCAAAACCCCCAGGCCCCCGGACGAAGCCCTCTTCGAAGCATGAAAGGGCGCCACCCTCAAAGTTTGGCCCGAGACCCGTAAACCCTAAACCCTCAACCCTCAAATGGGGCCCTAAACCCTGAACCCTAAACCCTAAACCCTAAACCCTAAACCCTAAACCCTAAACCACCCTAAACCCTAAACCCTAAACCCTCCTAAACCCTCCTAAACCCTCCTAAACCCTCCTAAACCCTCCTAAACCCTAGACCCTAAACCCTAAACCCCCAACCTCAGCAGAGGCAGGGGCTCAGCTTCGAGTCGCTCTGCGCGAGCCGCTGCCACCCTCTCCCCTGGCCGCTGGGACCGCATGTCTGACAGGGTTTCAGGGTTTAGGGTTTAGGGTTTAGGGTTTAGGGTTTTAGGGCTATATGACCAAGCCCACCAATCTCAACCCGAGGGCTTTGGGGTTCAGGGCCCAATCCTCAACCTTCAACCCTCAAACCCCAAGGTTTAGGGTTTAGGGTTTAGGGTTTAGGGTTTAGGGTTTAGGGTTTAGGGTTTAGGGTTTAGGGTTTAGGGTTTAGGGCCAACTCCTGAACCCCACATACCCAGGCAGTCGGAGTGCGTGGCCTGCAATGGGAGCAGCTTGGCTTCGGTTCTTCGCACATGTTGGAACCCTGCGGGGTCCCTGATCTCCTATATTGCTCTCAGGATTTGTTCAGGATTCTGGGCTAAAGGACCCTAAACCCTAAACCCTAAACCCTAAACCCTAAACCCTAAACCCTAAACCCTAAACCCTAAACCCAAAACCTTATGTTGGAGCCCTTCGGCCAACACAGCTTCCAGGTCCCGAGGTTCTTAGTGTTGCCACGGACGGCCCACACATTTAACAGGAAGAAGAGCAGCCGTTCTTATCGTAACAGAAGCGTCAGCTCTAGGGCTGCTGGGCAAGGCATGTTCATTCTCTTAGTCGTAGTCATCAGAGAGGCGAATAAGAGTCAGAGTACTCGTAAGCATAGCAATTGCAGATGCCTTGCACAGGACGTGGACGTCTGCGGTCCAAGCGGTACACCTCCGAGCTTCCCATCTGCGCGGTCGGGCTTCAGATGCGAAACGCGACCGCGGGTCGAGGAACCAGACGCCGGACAGCAGCCGACCGGTAAACCCGAAACCTTGAGAACTCGCAGCGTAAAGTGTTCATCTTGATGAGCAGCCTGTGCAAGACCTTCGGTGCACTTGTTGTCGGTGCTCGTGTGCTTGTTGCCAATTCAAGTCAAGTGGAGCCTTGGGTACTTGGAGGTTCATGGTGTACTTCTAACCCAATGATTTGCCTAGGTAATCCCTTCCCCCTAATATTAAACGGGGCCCCCCCCCTTTAAAAATTCGAAAAGTGTTTTTATTATTAGGGGGTATTCTTATCGAAATGTCATAATTCATTAGACTTCAGGGTTACTCAAGTAATCAACTTAAGTAAGTATGGTGTAAACTGAAAGAGAGAAAGAGAAAGATTCGTGTTGAGGGGTTGATTGGTTTTATTCGTGTTGAGGGGTTGATTGGAGGCCTGAACCACCCCCCCTAATTCGGAATAGGGTTTAACAGGCGGGCTCGGTTTCGGCAGGATTTTCCGGAAAGTGTTTTATTATTAGGGGGGCATTTAATAAAAGGGGGAAGGGATTAACTTGACTTAGGGGACTTGTAATAGGGATATAGGTCATACTTCGTTAGTAAGTACCATTGAACCTCCAAGTAGGGTGATGAGAGCTGCCAAGGGGCTCGCCCAGTGGCCGCAAGCGTTTCGAGGGGTCAGGGCAGCCCGCAGCCTCTCTTCGCGTTTCAGGATTATGGCGCGGAAGGATCTTTATTTCCTCATGAGAACCAAAGGCCACTAGCTCTGAGGCACAGAAACCCTAAGCCCTAAACCCTAAACCCTAAGCCCTCAGCCCTAAACCCTAAACCCTAAACCCTAAACCCTAGACCCTAAGCACTAAACCCTAAACCCGCAAGGCATGTTCATTCTCTACTTCATGCTCTCCTCTATGCTGGCCATCGATATCTTCATGGGCCATGTGCTCTTTACGTCTGTCGCTGCTTGTCTTGCAGGTGTAAGTCGGGTGTTAAGGGCGCTTTCAGATCCTCAGCACCCAAGGCTCTAAGCCTGAAATGCCTGTAAAACTGTAAAACCTTTCAGCCCCACACCCTGTGAAGCCCAAAACCCTGAAGCCCGTTCAGCCAAACTCAAGTCATGGCAACTAGTATCTGCAGTGTTTTGTAGAAGTACGATCGCTATGCGTTTCCCTCAGCCTTGTCACTTATCACTGTTTGTACTTGTGTCTAGTACGTGTGCTATCGTTTTCGCGTTGATGATTGCTGCCACTTTCGAGAGTGGTTATGAGGACCTTCAACCCTGAGCCCTAAACCCTACACCCAAAACCCTAAACTATACCGTAATCCTTAAACCCTAAACCCTAGACCCTAAACCCTATCTTGGGTCGGGTGCTTTGGGTTTTGTCTGGGAACTCACCGTAGCTCGGGGCCTCGAGAGCTCCAGAATTTGGTCGTTTCGGGTTAGGGTTTAGGGTTTAGGGTTTAAGGTTTAGGGTTTGGGGTTTAGGGTTTAGGGTTTAGGGTGTTCCGAAGTGCCGCGGTCCCGACCCACCAGGGAGTGGTGGCGGGTCGGGCCGCCTCGGTGCAGCGGATCCCACCCCAACCACCCAAACTACCGCCTTTTTCGGGTTTAGAGCGGTCTAACCGGTCCCCCTACCAAGGGGGCTTTCACCTCGACTGTCCCCGATGGCCGGGATGGGAGGTATGACTGCTGCTGTTGCTTGAGCCTACACTTTCCAGGATCGGGACAATCAAAATTCACCCGTTTAAGACAATCTCAAGCGCATAGCTAAGCCATGGCGGGGGGCAACCCTGGCGGGGGCAACCCGGCGGGGGCAACGCTGGCAACCCTGGCGGGGGCAACCCTGGCGGGGGCAACCCTGGCGGGGGCAACCCTGGCGGGGGCAACCCTGGCGGGGGCAACCCTGCCAGGGCACTCTGGCGGGGGCAGCTCGGGCGGGGGCAACCCTGCTTGGAGGTTGATGGACTTAAGAACCACTTTTAACTGCTCTTATAACCCTCATTGGAATAACCCCCAAAAGGCCTTTAGATGTATTATAAGTAGGGTTATAAGTACAGTTATCTAGTGGCGGGGCAACCCTGGGGGGGGGGGGTTCTGGGTCAGGGGCAACTTTGATGAAAACAACTTTGGTGGGGGCAACCCTGGCGGGGGCAAATCTGGCGGGGGCAACCCTGGCGGGGGCAACCCTGTCACTGTAACACTGGCAACCCTGGCAGGGGCAACCCTGTCAGCATGGCGGTGGTTCAGGTTCATGAGACTTAAGAACCACTTAGTTTTTAGGGTTTTTTTGGTGGGGTAACCCTGGCAGGGCAACCCTGGCGGGTGCCAACCCTGTCAGGGGCCAACCGGTTGGTTTGCCTTGTCACCCACCAAGCCTGGCGGGCTGGCGGGGGCAACCCTGTCACTGTAACACTGGCAACCCTGGCAGGGGCAACCCTGTCACCATGGCGGTGGTTGAGGTTCATGGGAGTTAAGAACCACTTAGTTTTTAGGGTTTTTTTTTGGTGGGGTAGGGCAAGCCTGGCGGGGCAACCCTGGCGGGGGCAACCCTGGCGGGGGTAGCCCTGGCGGACAACCCTGGCAGGGGCAAGTCACCCGCCCAATTTGGCGGCGAACCCTGCAGCGGCAACGCCCTCGCAGCGGCAACCCTGGCGGGGCAACCCTGGCGGGGGCATCCCTGGCGGGGGCAACCCTGGCGGGGGCAACCCTGCAGGGGCAACCAACCCTGCCACTGGTGGGGGCAACCGCAAACAAAACCAAACTGTTCGGGCAATTCTGGGGGGGGGTGGGGGGAACCCTGGTGGGCTACGGCGGAGGCGCAAGGGCTTCTCAGGGCCCGACCTCCCCCGCCAAGGTCGCCTCCCCCGAGAAAGGGGGGGGACGTGTTGACTGCTGCTGTTGCTTGAGCCTGCACTTTCCTGGATCAACAGAGAGCGGGACAATCTGTTTCACCCATACTGTGTTTAAGACACCCTCAAGCCCAATTCCGGACCCAAGCTCATTCATATGGCAGAATGGCGAGTGCCAAGCGCTCAACTCCGGCCACCGCTGGCGCAAGGGCTTCTCTGGCCCAGCCTGGTTTTTTTTTGGCAGGACCTCCTATGCTGGGGTCGTGCGTCTTGGGCCCGGCCTCCCCAGCGAGGTCGCGCAAGGGCCGGCGGGGGGCAACCCTGGCGGGCGGCAACCGTGGCGGGGTGTGGCGGGGGCAACTCTGCCAACCTTGGCGGGGGCAATCCTGGCGGGGTTTTGGCGGGGGCGACTACTAATGGGAAACCCTGGCAATTAATTGAGAACTTAGACAGGGCCCTTCAAGCATCCGGGGCCCATATGGCACTTGAAGCCCTGCTCGGCAACTAAACAAAACTTCATAGAGAAGGACGACGAAGCCTCGCCAGCGCGCGAGGAGGACGAGGTGGGCAGGGCCGTCGCAGAGAAGGTGCACAATTCCTGAGTCGGCGACGTGAGGAGGCGTGGAACCCTGACGGGGCAACCCTGTCACCCTGGGCAACCCTGTAAGGGCAACCCGAACTCGGCGGCGACCCTGGCGGGGGCAATGCTGGTGGGGGCAACCCTGGCGGGGGCAACCCTGGCAGGGGTAAAACTGGGCAACCCGGCGGGGTTGCGATAAAAACCATTAAATCTACTGGACGTCTTAATTACAAAATAGAATGACATTGAAAGACTACTCATAAAGTAAAATAGGATGAAGAAAGAAGTAAATAAGATAATGAATCCTGCATTTTCATTTGGTACAGCTTGTAACATAGCAATTGGCATAAGAAATACCATTCAGGTACGATATGTAAAGGAGTAAGTAACCCACATGCTTCTAATGCATTATCTGGATGTGAGAAAGAAGAGAAGCCGATAATAATGAAAGGAAAAATGCTATTTTATTATTAGTGGAATTCCTTAAAGGAGTATTAGAAGATAGAAAATGTGGATTAAAAATATGAAAAATGGTGGGGGCAACCCTGGGGCATCCTGGTGGGGCAACCCTGGCGGGGGCCACCCTGGCGGGGGCAACCCTGGCGGGGGCAACCCTGGCGGGGGCAACCCTGGCGGGGGCAACCCTGGCAGAGGGAACATTGGTGGGGGCAAACCTCGAAGACACCCGTGGTGGCAACCCTGGCCCTTGCAACCCTGGCGGGGGCAAGGAGTATAAACCTCATGGACGACGAAGCATATAGGTGCACGATTCCTGAATTGGCGGCGAGGCCAATTCCCGATACAACTGGGGGCAACCCGGGCAACCCTGTCACCCTGCCGGGGCAACCCTGCGGGGCAACCCTGGTGGGGGGCAACCCCGACCGGGGCAACCCTGGCGGGGGCAACCCTAGTGGGGGCAACCCTGGCGGGGGCAACCCTGGCGGGGCCAAGCCAACCCTGGCGGGGGGGCAACCCTGGCGGGGGCAACCCTGCCAGGGGCAACCCTGGGGGCAACCCTGGCCGGGGGCAACCCTGGTGGGGGCAACCCTGGCGGGGGCAACCCTGGCGGGGCCAACCCTGGCTGGTGGGGGCAACCCTGCTGGCGGGGGCAACCTCGCGAGGGCGCAACAGCTTCTTAGGCCCGACCTCCCCCGCCGGGGTCGCGCGTCGGGGGTTTAGGGTTAATCCATTATTACATTGTGCCCTATGGCTAGCAGGGATGCATCAGGTGTGGCAAGCTCGATCTGCTTGGCAAAGCAAGCAGATCTCGAAGCGGTAGCGTTCAGTTGTACCGGCCGCCGCCTGGCGCGGGCGGCCTATGGTTTAGGGTTTACGGTTTAGGGTTTAGGGTTCAGGGTTTAGGGTTTAGGGTTTAGGTGTTAGGTGCTTAGGCTTGGTGTTTAGGGTCTAGGGTTTAGGGTTGGCGAGGTTTCTTTGCTATGCGGCCCCTTCCATCTAGGCAATCCACGAGTTCGGTGATTTTGGGTTCTCAAAGTTGGGCCTAAGTCCTAACCCTATTTAATCCTGAATTTAGGGTGTAGGGTTCCCTGTCATCAGCGAAACCCCTGGACAACGACAACCTTAGGGAGGGCTGAGGGTTTCGTTACAGACCTTAAGGGCAGTAGGTGTTGTGCTTCAGGTCTTTAATGTTGGTGGGTGTGGGGCTTTTGAGTATAGGGTGTTAGGGTTTGAGGTTTATTGAGGTAGTCACAGGGTTTAGGGTTTCAGCGTTTCGGGTTTCAGGGTCTTAGGGTTTAGGGTGAGAGGCTTGGTGGATATGTTTCAGCCCCATATTTGCATCCGCTGGCGGAGACCCCGTAACTCAACTATCACCAAAACCCCCAAGGAAACCCGATGAACCCATCAACCCTCAACCCTAAACCCACAACCCTTAAGATGCATAAGCATTAGAAGGGACCCTTAATCTAACCCCCCTGTATAACCCATATACAACCCTCTATATGCATTTAAATAAACAAATAGATAAACAAATAAATAAATAAATAGATAAATAAATAAACATATACATATATAGACACACAGACACACCTTATGGCCCCTAAATAACCCCCTAAGGTCCCTGATAATAGTCCCTCCTTTACTCCCTTGAAACCCGAAACCCTAAACCCTAAACCCGAAACCCTAAACCCTAATCCCTAATCCCTAATCCCTAAACCCTAAACCCTAAACCCTAAGCCCGAAACACCTCAACCTGGAAGCCGAGCCTTCAGATTGGCATCGTCTTGGGGACCCAGCGCGGCCTCAACGGCATGCGCAAGGCTGGGCAAACCCCAAACCCTAAACCCTAAATCCTAAACCCTGAACCCTGAACCCTGAACCCTAAACCCTAAACCCCAAACCCTAAACCCGAAACCCTAAACCCCAAACCCTAAACCCTAAACCCCAAACCCTAAGAGGCTGGGGACTCGGCGGTCTTCCTCTCCGACTCCGACCTGGGCGTAGGGGCGACTTGGACTTCGGAGGGAAGGTTTAGGGTTTAGGGTTTAGGGTTTAGGGGTTTAGGGGTTTAGGGGTTTAGGGGTTTAGGGGTTTAGGGGTTTAGGGGTTTAGGGGTTTAGGGGTTTAGGGGTTAGGGTTTTTAGGTGTTTAGGGGTTTAGGGGTTTAGGGGGTTTAGGGGGTTTAGGGGGTTAGGGGTTTAGGGGTTTAGGGGTTTAGGGGTTTAGGGGTTTAGGGGTTTAGGGGTTTAGGGGTTTAGGGGTTTAGGGGTTTAGGGGTTTTAGGGGTTTGGGGGTTTGGGGGTTTAGGGGTTTAGGGGTTTAGGGGTTTAGGGGTTTAGGGGTTTGGGGTTTAGGGTTTAGGAGGGTTTAGGGTTTCAGAAGCCTAGGGTTTAGAGGTTTAGGTTTAGGGGTTTAGGGTTCAGGGGATTCGGGTTCAGGGTTTAGGGTGTCAGAAGTTTAGGGTTTAAGCAAAAAGGTATCTGGGTTGCGACTTTCGGGTTGAGGTGTAGTTTGGTTTGAGGGTTTAGGGTTTAGGGTTTAGGGTTTAGGGTTTAGGGTTTAGGGTTTGGGGTTTAGGGTTTAGGGTTTAGGGTTTAGGGTTTAGGGTTTAGGGTTTAGGGTGTAGGGTGTAGGGTGTAGGGTGTAGGGTGTAGGGTTTAGGGTTTAGGGTTTTAGGAGGTTGGCTTGAGGGTATTTGGGTATCGGGTTTAGGGCCTGTGCTCAGGATTTACGACTTCAGGATTTGGATGTCCCTAAACCCGAAACCCTAAACCCTAAACCCTCAACCCTCAACCCTAAACCCTAAACCCTAAACCCTGAACCCTAAACCCTAAACCCTAAACCCTAAACCCTAAACCCTAGACCCTAGACCCTAGACCCTAAACCCTAAACCCTAGACCCTAGATCCTAGAGCCTAAGAATAAGGGACCCCCAGAAGAGTAGTCTTATGTGGTTTCCTAGAACTTGACCGCCAGCAAAGAGCCGGGGCGAAGACGATTGTTTCCAGGATGCGGCGGTGACGGAGATCATGTTTTGGGTTGAGGGTTTAGGGTTTAGGGTTTAGGGCTTAGGGTTTAGGGTTTGGGGTTTGGGGTTTGGGGTTTCGGGTTTCGGGTTTTTCGGGTCGAGGGTTTAGGGTTGAGAGTTGTGCACAACATCGCCTGCAGCCAAAAAGCCTAAAGCATCTCGCAAGAATCCCTCACGAGCCCTGACGCCCCAAGCTCCAAAAGTGCTCAAACCTACTTCCCCAAAGCCCAGAATCCTAGGACCCGAAAACCCGAACATCCTTAAACACCCTAAGCCCTACACCCTAAACCCTAAACCCTAAACCCTAAACCCTAAGCCCTAAACCCTAAACCCTAAAGCCTAAAGCCCTCAACCCCAAAACCCCAAAACCCTCCACCCCAAGCCTGAAGCCGTTCTTGTAGGATCCTTCGTAAACCGGCATTTTTTCCTAGGCCCGAAACACTCCAAGCCGGTATTCCTTCCTCAGGCCTAAGGCCTAAGGCCTAAACCCTAAACCCTAAACCCTAAACCCTAAACCCTAAACCCTAAACCCCTAAACCCCTAAACCCCTAAACCCCTAAACCCCTAAACCCCTAAACCCCTAAACCCCTAAACCCCTAAACCCCTAAACCCCTAAACCCCTACACCCCTAAACCCCTAAACCCCTAAACCCCTAAACCCCTAAACCCCTAAACCCCTAAACCCCTAAACCCTAAACCCTAAACCCTAAACCCTAAACCCTAACTAAACCCTAAACCCTAAACCTCACGACACTCTAAACCGGCATTACTTCGTTCAGGGGTATGGGGGGTCCCTGAAAGCTGAGGAAAACAACCCGCGGGCCGGGAAGCTGATGCAGCGCCTGAGCAGGGAGCTGGTGTGGGGTTTAGGGTTTAGGGTTTAGGGTTTAGGGTTTAGGGTTTAGGGTTTAGGGTTTAGGGTTTAGGGTTTAGGGTTGTAGAGTTTACACCTTCAGCCCTGAAGCCCCGAACCCTCAAGCACCCAAGGCGCCCTAAGCCCTGAAACTCCTTCGGCCCCTGAGTCCTTAAGGCCCTAAACCCTAAGCCCCAAAAATGCAAACAACCCGAAAGCCCTAAAGCCGCGAAAATCCCTAAACCCCAAGCCCGAAACCCCAAACCCCAAACCCTGAACCCTAAACCCTAAACCCCAAACCCCACACCCAATACCCTAAACCCTAAACCCTAAACCCTAAACCTTAAAACCTAAGCCCTAACCCCCTCTACGCAACAGCTTCCCAGGCGCGTGTTTGGCAATGGCTGGCGCCACACCTGGAACCTCATATGCCCGGCGCTGAGGAGTTTAGGGGTTCAGGGGGCTAGGGTTTAGGGCCAAAGTTTAGGGTTTAAGGTTTAGAGGGTTTCGGGTTTAGGGGTTTAGGGTTTTTAGGGGTTTTAGGGGTTTTAGGGGTTTAAGGGTTTTAGGGGTTTTAGGGGTTGGGGGGTCTGAGGGGGTTTAGGGTTTAGGGCCTAAAGTTTCGGGGTTTTATAGCGTTTCAGAAGTTTAGGGGTTTAGGGTTTCAGAAGTTCAGTGCATTAGGGTTTGGGGTCGGGGGGGGGGGGGGGGGGGGCATTGTTATCCTGCGGCAGTGTTGGGAAGGCTTGGGCCTTTGATGGGTTTAGGGTTTAGGGTTTAGGGTTTGGGGTTTAGGGTTTAGAGTTCAGGGCTTGAGTGAAAGGTTCAGAGCTGGGCCTACCTATTCAGGTCAACCGCTGCAAGCTAGAGGCTAGAGCCGGAAATCTCTCAACCCCCCAAAGCTTTAAACTCTAAGCCCTACCGTCTTCCAAGACATCAGACCCCAGAAGTTGTATAGTGGGGGGTACGTGAATCCCTATTCAGGGCTGCTAGTATAAGGGGGGAAATCCCAACCCAGAAGCCTTCGACCAGAAAGCCTCAAACCCTACTGGTTTAGGGTTTAGGGTTTTGGGTTTAGGGTTTAGGGTTTAGGGTTTAGGGTTTAGGGAGTTTAGGGTTTAGGGAGTTTGGGGTTTAGGGAGTTTAGGGTCTAGGGTTTAGGGTTTAGGGAGTTTAGGGTTTAGGGTTTAGGGTTTAGGGTTTAGGGAGTTTAGGGAGTTTAGGGTTTAGGGAGTTTAGGGTTTAGGGAGTTTAGGGTCTAGGGTTTAGGGTTTAGGGAGTTTAGGGTTTAGGGTTTAGGGTTTAGGGTTTAGGGTTTGGGGTTTAGAGCCTTACAAAGAGTCCCCGCGTGGTGTTCATTGCTTCCCAGATGGCCTCCCCCCAAACGGAACCGCCGGATAAGAAGCAGCCTTGGTGGGCCATTCCCGGGTTGTAGGGTTGTAGGGTTGTAGGGTTGTAGGGTTGTAGGGTTGCAGGGTTGTAGGGTTGTAGGGTTGTTGAAGGAGTGTAGGGTTGTCGGGTTGTAGGGTTGTAGGGTGGTAGGGTTGTCGGGTTGTAGGGTGTAGGCGTGTAGGTGTTTCTAGGGGTGTAGGGGTTTAGGCGTTTAGGTGTGGGGGTTTAGGGGTTTCATAGGCTCCCGAAGCCCGAAACCCTAAGCCATTCTGCGCCCGAAGTGTCCCATGAGCCAGGCTACCGCCTCTGGAAGGAAGATTTGCTTAGCAGCTCGGAGGTGCCCGAGCTGCTTTCTGGCTTCGTGGTTTAGGTGGTTTAGGTGGTTTAGGTGGTTTAGGGGGTTTAGGGGGTTTAGGGGGTTTAGGGTTTAGGGGTTAGGGTTTAGGGTTTAGGGTTTAAATACTAGTACTATTTCCGTATGGTCCCTTTATATTTATACTATATTAAACCCACCCCCCCAAACAAGAACCCTATTTGTTCAGACCCCAACATTAGGGTTGAGCTTGCTTTTGGGGCTTTTTTATGGTTCAAGGTTCAAGTTTTCGGGTTTGAGGCATCTTCGTCTATAGCAGGGCCTTCAGGGCTGTAAAGCTCTTGAGCCTTCACAGCCCTGTTGTCTTGAACCGAAACCCTAAACCCTAAACCCTAAACCCTCAGCCCTTGGCTGAAGGAGTAGGGTTGAGGTTCATGGTCACGGGGTCAAGGGTTTGGGTAGGTTTTGGGGTTGATCTGCGGCTTCAGAATACCGGAGCCTCCAGAAGTCACCAGTATCTCTCCTCCATGACGTCATGATACTCTAGAGTACTCAAATCCCTGCGTAAGTACATAGGCCCCTACAAAAAAAGCGTAAACCCAAAACCTCAACCCTTAAACCTTAAACCCCCTAAACCCGAAACCCTAAAACCCCTAAACCCAGAAAACCTAAACTCCGAACTCGACATCGCAGTCGGATCAGCTGATGCAGATGGCCACCAAGAGCAACTCCGCCACTCTGGCTCTTTAGGGCTCAGGAGGGGAGTTTAGTTCAGGGTTTGAGGCTTAAGGCTCCGGGCTTGGGGTTTAGGGTTTAAGGTTTAGGGTGTAGGGCGTAGGGTTTCGGGTTTACGGCTGAGGATTTAGGGCCAGGGTCTAGGTTTTAGGAAATAGGCTGAGTGGTTTCATGGCGTAGTTGTTCGGGTTCTGGGGTTTGGGGTTTCAGGCCAAGGGTTTTAGGGTTCAGCGTTCTAAACTCTACACCCCCGAACCGGCCCTAGAATCCTCAACCCCCAAGTAGGGTTGAGGGCTTCGAGTCCCTCAACCCTATATGAACCTTAAACCACAAACCCAAAACCCAAAACCCAAAACCCAAAACCCTAAACCCTAAACCCTAAACCCCAAACCCTAAACCCTAAGCCCTGCGCCTTGAGGACAAGAACCCAGATGCACCGGTTTACCTGCACACGCTTCACCCGGTCGTCCGCGAGCGCTTCACCTTCTTCTTCGCCTCGCTCCGCCGCCCTGATGCAGTTTAGGGTTGTGGGGGGTTTAGGGTTTAGGGTTTAGGGGGTTAGGGTTTGGGGTTTAGGGTTTGGGGGGTAGGGTTTGGGGTTTAGGGTTTAGGGTTTAGGGTTTAGGGTTTAGGGTTTGGGGTGTAGGGTTTCAAGATCCCCCTGAAAACCCAGCAATCCAAGCACCGCCCCAAGTGCGCCCCAACTGCAGCCGTCCCAATCTCCCGAAATGTTTGGTTGCTGTTTTTTTCTCGATTCGGGTGCCTTTTGAACCTGCGCCTTAATCGGGAGGTAGGGGTTAGGGTTTAGGGTTTGGGGTTTAGGGTTTAGGGTTTAGGGTTTAGGGTTTAGGGTTCTCCCCAGCATCTCCCGCCAGCCACATTCTGAAGTAGCCCTAAACCCTAAACCCTAAGCCCTAAGCCCTACGCCCTAAGCCCTAAGCCCTAAACCCTAAACCCTAAACCCTAAACCCTAAACCCTAAACCCTAAACCCTAAGCCTCCTTTGGGCACAGAGAAGTTTGGCCGCTTCGCGGAAGAGACCTGGCTTCAGGGGGTTTGGGGCTTCAGAGGTTCCGAGGGCTTCGGGTTTAGGTTTAGGGCAGAAGGGCCCAACGTTTCTACCCTGAGCCCTAAGCCCTAAGCCCTAAACCCTAAACCCTAAACCCTAAACCCTAAACCCTAAACCCTAAACCCTAAACCCTAAACCCTAAACCTTGAGCCCTGAACCCTGAACCAGGTACCATCTGCGAGGACCGGATGCGAATGGAGGAGCCCTTCGGGTTTGGGGTTCAGGGAGCATCCGAGGGAGGCGCGTTGCGTTCAAGAGCTGGTCGCAACCCTCCGCACTGCGCACCAAAAGTGGGTTTAGGGTTTAGGGTTTAGGGTTTAGGGTTTAGGGTTTAGGGTTTAGGGTTTAGGGCTTCACAGTAGGAGAAGTTCTGAGCGTCCCCCAAAACCCTAAGCCTTAGCCTAGCCCTACACTCAAAGCACACGCCCTGTAAACTCCTAAAGCCTAAACCCCTAACCCTAAACCCTGACCCTAAACCCTGACCCTAAACCCTAGACCCTAGACCCTAGACCCTAGACCCTAGACCCTAAACCTTAAACCCTAAACCCTAAACCCTTAACTTTATAAACCCTAAACCCTAAACCCTAAACCCTAAACCCTAAACCCTAAACCCTAAACCCTAAACCCTAAACCCTAAACCCTAAACCCTAAACCCTAAACCCCTAACTAGACCTCACGTCCCAGGAGAACCCGCCGATCTCGCATCATGGAATCTTCCGCACCCACGACATCATGCCTCTCTCGCAGGTGCTGCCGGCCGTGAACGAAGAGGCATCTTGGATGGGGTTTAGGGTTTAGGGTTTAGGGTTTAGGGTTGGTTTAGGGTTTAGGGTTTAGGGTTTAGGGCTTGGGGCTTAGGGCTTAGGGCTTAGGGTTTAGGGTTTAGGGTTTAGGATTTAAGGCCAAAAGTCAAAAGAGACCCCTTAGACCTAGTCCAAGGCTTAAACATCCCAATGCCCCCCCCCCCCAGACCCCAAACCCTAAACTTCAAAAGGGCTTAGGGCTTAGAGTCTCAAGCACGATCTCAGGCTTCTCAGCCCCACAGCTTGCGAGCAGGCAGCAAGAATTCTCAGGTAATGGTCCCTAAGCCCCAAACCCGAAACCCGAAACCTTTATCCCTAAACCCGAAATGAATCCCGAGGTAATGAACCCTAAGCCCAAAACCCTGAACCTGTAGCCCTACACCCTAAATCCGAAATCTGAATCCGCAAGTAAAGCTGCCACAGGTCATCCTCCAGGACGGCATGCTCAGTGGAAACAATGGAGAGAACCTGCGGTGGATCATCGGCAAGTATCCGAAGGACTCCTGCCCTGACAGATTTGGCCCTGCGCCCCTTCAGCCCTAAAATCCCAAACCCTAGACCACCATGACCTAAACCCCTAAACCCCAAACCCCAAGACTCTCAACCCGAAAGAAAGCAACCCTCAGCCAAATTTTTTTGCAGCCATACAAGGGCTCAGGTCATACAGTGCCACAGTCGCGGGTGTCTCCCAGCCCTTGGCAAGTTTGTTTCAAGGGTTTAGGTTTTAGGGTTCAGGGTTAGTCTACATTCTTTTTAGAGAACTTAAAATGAGTTGCCATAGGAGGGTCCATAGTGAATAACATCAGTTGTCTTGGCAGGAGCTCAGAAAATCTGCAGCCTATTTAAAGTCCAGCATTATCCCCTTCATATACTCATCCCTACATAACTATCATATCCATACAAGATACCCATTCCCATTACACAGGCCCCTACATCTTATACACGTCCGTTTGACAGAGGATCTTGTCGGGCAATTTGCTTCAGAGGGTCTTCCGGCGACTAAGCCCTAACCTCCAAGCCCTAAACCCTGCCGCAGCACGGAATTTTCAGATGCCCACAAAGTGACCAGAAATTCGAGAGCTGCCCGTACTCCGTAAAATCTCTTTCGGACCCTTAACCCTAAGCCCTCAAGCCTAACCCCTAAACCCTAAACCCTCAACCCTAAACCCTCAACCCTAACCCTGAGGGAGGCTCCCCCTCCAGGTCGAGGGGGCTCCTGAAAACCTCAACCCTGAGCCCCCTAAACCCTAAACCCTAAATCTTACACCCTAAACCCTAAACCCTCAACCCTCAACCCTAAACCCTAAACCCTAAACCCTAAACTCTAAACCCTAAACCCCAAACCAGTTTTTGTTTCCGTGGAAGGAGTGGCAGCGCCTCACAGCACGACTGGCGGAGAGCAACTTGCTGCTGAGATCCTCGGCAGCCACTTCAGGGTGAGGGGTTTAGGGTTTAGGGTTTAGGGTTTAGGGTTTAGGGTTTAGGGTTTAGGGTTTAGGGTACCGGGTTTAGGGTTCAGGGTTTAGGGTTTAGGGTTCAGGATGAAAGGGGCCTACAAAGAACCGTAAGCCCCGATATTGCAATCCTTGCAGGGTTCAGAGCTTCGCGGGTTTTGGCAGCGTGAGTTTAAAAAGGGTCGGGGATTCCCCCGCGCACAAGCAAGGCCAGTACCTTGGCGGGGGGGGGGGGGGGGGAAACTATAAACCCCAAACCCCAACCCAAGACCCCAAACCCTCAACCTCAAACCCCAAACCCTAAAGCCCAACCCTCAACCCCAAACTCCAGGCCTCAAACCCCAAGCCCGCAGCTGTAACCCCAAACCCCAAATCCAACACCCTAAACCCCAAACCCCAAATCCCAAACCCTAAACCCCAAACCCCAAACCCCAACCCCCAAACCCAACACCCTAAACCTCAAATCTCAAACCCCAAATCCTGAGCCTTTGAAGCCCCTGCACCCTACACCCTAAACCCCAAACCCTAAACCCCAAACCCTAAACCCTAAACCCCAAAGCCTAAACCGCAAACCCTAAACCCTAAACCCCAAACCCTAAACCCCAAACCCTAAACCCCAAATTCGCCCCAGGATACCTTGGGAAGGCCCAGCCTCCCATCTCCGACAAGACGCGGCTCGAGGTAGGGTTCAGGGTTCAGGGTTCAGGGTTCAGGGTTCAGGGTTCAGGGGTCAGGGTTTAGGGTTTAGAATTTAGGGTTTAGGGTTTAGGGTTTAGGGTTTAGGGTGTAGGGTTCAGGGTTCAGGGTTCAGGGTTCAGGGTTTAGGGTCCTGGGGTGAAGTATCTAAGGGTAGTTGCATGGTCCCTTTTCTCTGGTCCTTTCGGGTTTAGGGTGTAGGGTTTGGCGCTTACGGAAGTTACATGGCCCTTCTGACGTAATGAGATCTTGGGTTTTATAGGGTGTTTAAGGAGTCCACTGTTTTTTTGTTCTGGAGCTGTTGTGGGTTAGGAATTTAGGGTTTACGATTAAAGGTTTTTAAGTTTGGGGTTTCATGGTTTGATGGCTTGATGGTTTGGGGGTTTCGGGGGTGAGGGTTGAGGATTTCGATCGGGATAAAGCGTATGGCAGGCGTTGAACCTATGATACGGGTTGAGCCTATGATAAGGTTTGAGGGCCCTAAACCCTAAACCCTAACACACCCCCCCCCCCCCCCCCCCCCCGGTACCCCTAAAGCCCAAACTTTTGGGCCTTCGGAAGGTGCGTTTGTGGGCTTCGATGAGGTCTCAGCTGCTTTGGCGCAGGGAGTTTTTTTTGGGGTTAGGGGCGGGGGGGGAGTGGGGGGTTTAGGGTTTAGGGTTTTTGGGTTTTAGGGTTTTAGGGTTTAGGGTTCAGGGCTCCGGGTGTGGGTTTGGATTTGGGGTTTAGGGTCTTTGGTCTGGGGTTTAGGGTTTGGGTTTTCGGTTTCTTTCACAGACGCAGACAGGGCACAGGAATTCACGGACCCTCTGTCCTGTTACGATACACGATCGGACCTTGTTAGTTTGGGTTTAGGGTTGAGGGTTTGGGGTTTGTTGGCGCCCCAAATCCGAAACCCTAAGCCCCAACCTATAGAGTGTGGCCGATGAGATGGGTCAACCCACCCACACCTTGCCAAGGACGGTGATGCGCACAGTGCAGGGAGCCGCCGCTGGGGCCGAAAGATTTAGCGTTTGAGATTTCGAGGATGCCTCGTGGTACCCTTGTTGCCTTTGTTGCTGAGTTCCGGGTCTCTTTATGAGAAGCAGCCAACATCCCCCCAAAACCTGGACTCTAGACTGCAGACCCGACGCCCTTACTTTGTATTGTAGTCTGGTGACTGGTCTACCTTTTGTGAGGTGGAGCTTTTGGGGTGTAGGGCCGGGTACAAGGTTTGGGGATTTGGGCTTAAGGGCTTTAGGAGTTCAGCAGCTACCCTGAACCCTAAACCCTAAACCCTAAACCCTAAACCCTAAACCCTAAATAGGGATCTGGGGTTCAGCGCTGAGGTTTTAGCATTGAGTGTTCAGGATTTGTGGGTGGAGATTTCAGCGAACCGGCGGCTGCAAGTGCGTCATGTGGACGCGAGGTGCAGATGTTTGTCTGAGCCCATGAAGCCCCAAGCTCTAAACCCCAAATCCCAAACAGGGTTTAGGATTTAAGGTTTAGGGTTTAGGGTATTAGACCTCAAACCACAAACACCCAAGCCTAAACCCTAAAACCTCAGGCAGTTGTCACTTTGTTGGTTTCTTAGTGGTTTCCCTGGCTTCTTTTCTACCTTCAGCTTGAAGCCCTAAACCCAAAAACCTTGCCTAGTTTGGGGATTTACGGTTTGGGGTTTTGGGTTTGGGGTTTTGGGTTTGGGGATTAGGGTTTTAGGGTTTTAGGGTGCGGGGGTTTCCAACCCCGAATCCCAACACCTCAACTCTCGAAGCCCTGAGGTGAACTACCACATCGCGTTGGAAACGAATCCGACGATTGTGTGCCCTCGCTGCCAGTGGGTGAAGGAAGCCCTAAACCCTAGACCCTAAACCCTAAACCCGAAACCCGAAACCCTAAACCCTGATCCCTCAACCCTAACCCCCTGTGTTTGGGGGCTTAGGGGTTTGAATTAGGGCTGAGGTTTCCAAGCACCGGCCTTTGGAGAACCCACCGCCAGTCGGGTTTAGGGTTTAGGGTTTAGGGTTTAGGTATGAGGGGTTTAGGGTTTAGGGTTTAGTTTAGGGTTTACGGTTTAGTTTAGGATTTAGGGTTTAGGGTTTAGGTTTAGGGTTTAGGGTTTAGGGTTTCGTGTTTAGGGTTTTGGGTTTCGGGTTTTGGGGTTTAGGGCTTAGGGATTAGATCCGTTAAAGCCTCTGCTAATACCCCAAGGCTTATGCCCTCAGCCCTTAAGGTTGTCTACTATACCCCAGGGCTTATGCCCTCAGCCCTTTAGGTTGTCCAGTCCAAGTTTCTTGAGAACGGGCGCCTGCTGCAGGTCCCCGCACTCCACCATCAGCAAACGGCAGCAGCTGGAGAAGTACGTCGAGCTGGTTCCTGTGTCGCACGCAGGGACCCTAAACCCTAAACCCTAAACCCTAAACCCCAAACCCTAAACCCCGAACCCCAAACCCTAAACCCCAAACCCTAATCCCTCAACCCCCAAAACAAAAAACCTAAGCTTCTACCGCTTGGCCCTTGGCAGTTCCCAGGCTGCGGCTCTTTGCAGGAAGTAATGCCCCTAAACCCTGAACCCTGAACCCTAAACCCTAAACCCTAAACCCTAAACCCTAAGCCCTAAGCCCTAAGCCCTAAACCCACCTTCGGATCCCTGTTGCAGTTTCAAGAATTTCCCTTGACTAACGTGTCTTGACCTCACTGCAACCCAAAGCCCCGAAGCTCTAAACCCGAGACTCCTCAACTCCCGCACCTTTTAGGGTTTAGGGTTTAGGATTTAGGGTTTAGGGTGTTTACGAAGCTGTGGGGTTTCAAGGTTTTGGGGTCTGGGTTTGTTTGAAGTTTAGTGTTTAGGGATTCCATCCGACCGATAAGCACTGGACCCCAAGCGGGGTGGTAATGAGCTTAAATTCCGATACAGCTATCTGGATCTACCCAAAACTCTAAACCCTGGACCTATGCTCTGTAATACGGTTTCCTTCTCTTGGTCGCTGGTTATTGTACGGGCCGTAACAGCAATCCCTTAAAATCTGACCCTTACAACGTGAACCTAAACCCTAAACCCTAAACCCTAAACCCTAAACCCTAAACCCTAAACCCTAAACCCTAAACCCTAAACCCTAAACCCTAAACCCTAAACCCTAAACCCTAAACCCCAAACCCTAAACCCTAAACCCTAAACCATAAACCCCAAACCCCTGGCAGCTCAGATTTGGTCGCACCAGACGCACGGCGAAGACAACAAGAAAGACAGCAGACCCAGCTGCGATTGGGGTTTGGGGTTTCAGTGTTGGGCCTAAAACCCGACTCTGAAGCGCTACAGTTTAAGGTTTAGGGTTTAGGGTTTAGGGTTTAGGGTTTAGGGTTTAGGGTTTAGGAATTTAGGGTTTAGGGTTCAGGGTTTGGTAATTTAGGGTTTAGGGTTTAGGGCAACAAGATTGCCAATTCCCCAACTTACCCCTAAACGCGCCTATTCAGAACTTCCGACGCTGGCCAGTTCGAGGGCTACGTATCGAGAACGTTTTTCAGCGAATCCCGCATTCAAATCCCAAGAGCTTGCACCTTGAACCCCTACACCGCTAAATCCCTGAACCCCTAAACCCTAAGCCGTAAGCCCTAAACCCGTAAACCCCTAAACCTCTAAGCCCCTAGCCCTGAACCCCGGGGTCGGGCGGGAGAAGGTGTCGGATGGAGATCCACTATCGGCCCATATCTGCGCGACGCATGTCTTGAGGCCTTCGAGAAGTCTTCTAGCATCCCAAGCTTGGCAGCTTCCGCGCCACAGCTTCGCAAAACAAAATCCCAAAACCAAAATCCCAAAACCCCAAAACCTTGAACCCCCTAAACTCTAAGCTTTAAACCCCAAGCCACTTTTTCTTCTCCATGGCCCATCTGCTCCCAGGTGATGTGCGTCGCCTCCTGGGTCTGTACGAGGACGCCCCCCCCCACCCCCCCCCCCCCCCCCAAAAAAAAAAAAAAAAAAAACAAACAAAATCAAAAACAAATCCAAGAAGGGTTTAGGGTACCTCTAAACCCTAAACCCTCAACTTGCCCTAAACCCTAAACCCTAAACCCTAAACCCTAAACCCTAAACCCTAAACCCTAAACCCTAAACCCTAAACCCTAAACCCTAAACCCTAAACCCCAAACGCGAAACCCAAAACCCGAAACCCTTAACCCTAAGCCCTAAGCCCTAAACCCTAAACCCTAAACCCCAAACCCGAAACCCTAAACCCTAAACCCTGAACCCTAAACCCTAAGCCCTAAGCCCTAAACCCCAGACTAGTAAGAAATCTCTTGGACCCTGAAACCCCCCATGACTGAGAGGACTACCCAATCTACCTCGTCTTCGACCTGGACATGGCCCGGGGGCGGAGTCTAGGGTTAAGGGTTAGGGTTTAGGGTGTAGGGTTTAGGTTTAGGGTTTAGCGTTTAGGGCTTAGGGCTTAGAGTTTAGGGTTTAGAGTTTAGGTTTTCGGGTGGAAGTCAAGACGGAAAAAACTCGCTGTTTGGGTTGAGGGCTCAGGGTTTGGGTCATTGGGGATTGGGCCGAGGGCTTAGTACAGGTTTAGTTCCACCCCCCTCGCCATCCCTCGCTTTTCCGGGGAAGTTTTGTTTCTCAAAAGCCTTTCCCAAACTGCCTCAAACACTGAAACAGCCTCCTCTATTCTAGGGGGAGTTGAGGGCTCCGGGTTCAGGGTTTATAGGGGCTTAGGGTTAAGGGCTAAGGGTTTAGGGATTTAGGGTAGTCCAGGGTCTCGCGAAAACACGAGCCCCTCGCAGGTCCACCTCACCACGCTGGATCGGAAGATCATGGGGCAGATGGTGCGCCGCAGGCTGCGGCAGGAGATGGAGGGTTCAGGGTTTAGGGTTTAGGGTTTAAGGTTTAGGGTTTGGGGTTTAATGTTGACCTCCAAATTTCCGCCCCCGCCCCCTATTGGGGGGGGGGGGGGGTCGGGCTGTCCCGAGCCGCCCCCAAGCCCTGACCTACCTAAAAGGGCACGTAGAAAAAAATCTGTTCCCGGGCCGGAATTTCTTATTATTGAGGGGGGGTTTATAATTGAGTTCCGGGATCCGAATTCTTTAATTACGGGGGGGGTTTTAATTTGCAGGTTAACATTAGAGTTGATTTAGGGTTTGCGGTTTAGGGTTTAGGGTTGAGGCTTCAGGGTTGAACCAGGTTCCTATACTCCCTAATCCGTTTCATCCCAAAAGAGCAGAAAGTCCGAAACCCTGGAAACCCCTGAGCCGTGAACCCGAAGCTCGGGAAAAAAGCCTCTACAACCCCTAAACCCTGAACCCCTTTTGAGTCGCCATCTACTGATCCCCTTTATGGGTTTAAGATAGTCAGTTTTAGGTACCTTTTTGCGCAAAACCCTAAGCCCTAAACCTATATTCTTCAGAGCCTTATATATTAGGTATATAGGTATGTGCTTTCACGGGTTGTTAAGGGCCATCTCCTAGCAAAAGTAAGGCGGCGCGTGGGGGTGGGGGGCGCTGTTGTATCTGGGCGTGCTGCGCCCTCATCGCACGAAGGGTTCCAGAAGCTCCTCGGCAACTACGTCTTCCGGACGGGGACGACGCGGCGTGGCGGGGGCTGGGGGTACCTGTTCTGCATGGAAGCCGGCGAGAATCCTGACTGGTTCCGCCTGGTCCGAGGACGACGCATCGCCTGACCGAGCAGTCGGAACCTCCGCCCGAGCTATGTCTCGCCGGCGCTTCATCAAGCTCACAAACCTCTCCGAAACCTTGCGGGCTGAGATCCTCGTGAAGCTGCAGTCCCTGATCGGGGTGTTACAGGGGGTTGTTATAGGGGCTGTTATAAGGGGTGTTATAGGGAGTTTATCGGGGGTGTTATAGGAGATTTGTGGGGGTGTTGTGGGGGTGTAAAAGGGGGGAGGCCGCGTGGGAACGAGCCGGCCTTGACTGCGAAGGTCAAAGGTCGACCATACTGCGGCGATGGGGTGGGCTCGGCCCCTGGTAGGGTTTGGGGAGAGGTCAGAGCAAGATATTTGAGGCAGGAGGTATAGGTGAAGGTCGAATAAACCTGAGTCGGTGACCCGAGCCACGAGTCGGGCGAGCTCCAGCCCGCCGACATGGGTACAAAGCCGGTGCCTGTCCAAAGGGTGAAACCCTAAACCCCAAGCCCCAGACCCCAAACCCGAAAGTCCCGGTAAACGACCCCCTGGGTGCCGAATCCCCCCAGAATAATAAAGGCAGCCAAAGCCACCACTCCATGTGAACTCAGGGTTTGGGTTCTTCTAAGGGGGTAGTTCCATGGGCCCTTAGTAACTGTATGGTCCCCTGCCTTCTTCAAAGGGTTCGACGTATGGGCCGTTGGGTTTTCTGGGGTCCCCTTTTAAGGGCCCACATGCAACCACCCTTACAAGGTCTAGCTCTATAGACTTTAGGGTGTGGGGTGCAATACAGAGTGAAATATTGGGGTTGGAATAGTTACAAACAGTATTCCCTCCTGATACCCCAAAAACCCCATTCTAATTGTGAAGGCGCTTATATAAGGGTTTGGGGCGTAGGGGTTGAGGTTTGGGGTTAATGGTGTAGGATTTGGGACTTGGGATTTGGGGCTTAGGGTTTGGGGTTTCGGGTGCAGGTTTATTGAGCTTAAGGTGTAGGACTTCGGGTTTGGGGTTTAGGGTTCAGGGTTCGTTGCAGGAGATGCAAGTCCTGGATGAGTGGCTCGACGACACTCACTTCTTTGACCACTTCCCCTACATGTCCTGCAAGGCCCTACGGTGCAGCAACCATGCCCTAAACCCTAAACCCTAAACCCTAAACCCTAAACCCTAAACCCTCAACCCTAAACCCTAAACCCTGAACCCTGAACCCTGAGCCCTAAATCCTAAGCCCTGAACCCTGAACCCTAAACCTTGAACCCTAAACCCTACACCCTAAGCCAGCTTTTTTCCCCAGGGCTTTGGGTAGTTCGGCTGAAGTGGCTGCCAGTGCTGCGATGCCCCAGTGAGACCCTGACGAGGCCCCTTTGGGCAGCTAACATTGTGCTTGTACAGGGGTTTAGGGTTTAGGGTTTAGGGTTTAGGGGTTATAAGTGGAGAAGATCGCGAACGAAGCAGCAAAACCCCTAAAGCCTAAACCCTACAAATACTAGATAAGGGGACAGTCTTGGTTTCTATTGGGGCTCCTGTGAAAATGCCTGAGTTAACCACGTAAGTGCCAAAAGCCCCGCCGCGGTATTTCCCGGCCCAGACCCAACCCCAGGCCCTAAAACCTCAGCCCTGAACTCTAAAGCTGATCCAAACTCGAAGTCCTAAGCTCTCTTCTTTATGGCGTCAACCCTGTTTGCATATTTAGGGCTATGAGCAGCTGCATGTCCCGAGGCCATGTACCGAAAGCGGCCGCTGCTGGAAGAGCGCCGCAAGCTCATCCGGGACCCTACGTGGTTTAGGGTTTAGGGTCTGGGGGTGGGGGGGGGGGGGGGGGGGGGGGGGTGGGGGGGGGGGGGGGGGGGGGTGGGGGGGGGGGGCGGGGTGGGGGGGGGGGTGGGGGGTGGGGGGGGGTGGGGGGGTGGGGGGGCTCAAGGTAACCAACCCCCCAAAAAAGGGTGCCCTCATTGTCATTGTTGACTGGGCAATCAACTTTCGGTGCGGGTTAGGTTTGAGGGTTTTGGGGGGGTTCAGGGCCTAGGGTACCCTTTGAGCTCAGGGATTTGGGCTTTTGGGTTTGTTTTGAGCTAAAATGCAACAAGGACCATTGCCTTGTTTAGGGTTTGGGGTTTGGGGTTTGGGGTTTGGGGTTTGGGGTTTGGGGTTTGGGGTTTGGGGTTTGGGGTTTGGGGTTTGGGGTTTGGGGTTTGGGGGTTTCGGGGTTTCGGGTTTAGGGTTGAGGGTTTATCTGCGGTTCACGGGGCTTGGTTTAGTGATGCATCAAGTACGAAGCCCAGTGGTAGCCCTTAAACAAAAAGAACTTGTTGTCTTTTGTTGAGGGGGGGGGGGGGGGGGGGGGTGGTGGTTCTGAGTCTTACCAAACACTCGCAACAGGATGGGCTAGGTATGGCTGCGTGGCTACAGCCCTAAACCCTAAACCGCAAACTCCAAACTCCAAACCCTAAACCCGAAACCCTAAACCCTAAACCCCAAACCCTAAACCCTAAACCCCAAACCAGAACTTCTTGCCCATGTGAGGAGCTCGAACTCAGCAACCTCGATGGCAAGTTCATCGCCAGCCAGGTAGGATGCTGATTCATGAGCTTGCCTCGGCCCCAATTGAAAGCTCTTAGTAAACTTAGGGATGCTTGGGAATAATTTTTAATCTTTGGGTACTTTAGGGTTTAGGGTTTAGGGTTTCGGGTTTAGGTTTAAGTCCTAAGAAACAGCTAAGATGATTTTTTAGTTAGGGATCTTTGGGAATAGCTTTTAATCTTTGGGTACTTGAATTCCTAAGAAACAGCTAAGATGATTTTTTAGTTAGGGATCTTTGGGAATAGCTTTTAATCTTTGGGTACTTTAATTCCTAAGAAAAAGCTCAAATTAAGATTTTTGCTAGTGTTCCAAGTTCAGCGCAGGCAAGTCTACTTCGAACCCCCTAGAAACCTTACCATAATACCCAGAACCCAACTGACTACCCCCACTTACTAAGTCAAAAGGGCCTCCCCAGTAGGGTTCAGGAAGTGCAGGGTTTGGGGTTCATCTAGGGTTTAGGGGATTAGGGTGTAGAGCTTAGGGTTTATGGTTCTTTTTGTCTTTGGGGTTTGCGGTTCAGGGGTTTGGGCTGAGGGTGTTTCAGAACGTGTTGCGGAACTTGAGCGTGTTTTTTGTTCGGGATCTGGGCCTTAGCTGCCAAGCCAGGCTTTGCAAAGGAGGCGGCAGCGGGCAGTTATCGCAGATTTCCTACATAGGGTTTAGGGTTTAATTCGGGTTTAGGGTTTAGGGTTTAGGGTTTAGGGTTTAGGGTTTAGGGTTTAGGGGTTAGGGATGGAGACCTTCAGGGTCGTGACGAGATCTGGTTCTGGACTGCCAAATGGGGTACGGAGGTGGAGCACGTGCTGGCCCTCATGAGCCGGTACTTGGTGCCAGTGTTGCCTCCAAGTCGCCAGCCGGTGTTTTCCCGTACACGCTGGAATGGCTTTGATGATGCACTTCAGTGGTATGGCCTACAGTGACAGCGCTGGATAAGAAACCTCTAAGTTTTGGTGAGGGTACCCTCGGTTTCTTAATTATGAAGCCCACTCAATTTCCGGAATTTTAGCCTCCTCACTTTTGAGGGTACCCTCGGTTTCTGAACGAATTTCTTAACGGGATTCGAACTGACAACGTGTCAATTAGTAAGGCGACGCCTTATCCATTAGGCTGATCGCTCAAGCCTCAATTTCTTAATTTGCTGGTTTTTGGGGTCCCGCCCCACCCGGGTGAAATTCTTAATTTTCCGCCCCGCGCCCCACCAAAATAAGAAATCCAGCCCCTCGACTTCTTAAATTTAAGAAATCCAGCCCCTCAATTTCTTAAATTTAAGAAATCCAGCCCCTCGATTTCTTAAATTTGGGGTCCAGCCCAATTCCCCCCTCAAATTAAGAAATCCAGCCTAAATTGGAGGGTTTTGGCCTAAAATAAATAAGAAATTCCTCCGACCCCCCCCCCCCCCTTCCAAATAAGAAATCCAGCCCCTCGATTTCTTAAATTTAAGAAATCCAGCCCCTCGATTTCTTTAAATTTAAGAAATCCAGCCCCTCGATTTCTTAAATTTAAGAAATCCAGCCCCTCGATTTCTTAAATTTGGGGTCCAGCCCAATTCCCCCCCTCAATTTAAGAGATCGAGGGGCTGAGTTTCTTATTTGGGGGGGAGACTTTTCATTCGGCGAATGCCAAAAACAACCAAATTTAAGAAATTTAGGGCCCAGGATGAGGGTACCCTCGATTTCTTAATTTAGTCTTGCTCTCAATTTTCGCATTTTTAATCCGGCATCCAGCCGCGAGCATGCTCGTTTCTTAATCCAATGATTTCTTAATCAGTGCTGTCACTGTAGTTGATGCTTGTCTAGGCCGTGAGGTAAAGGCATCAGAGAGTACGTTGCAAGTATGCATGCTCAACCCTACACCCCCAGCCCTAAACCCTAAACCCTAAACCCTAAACCCTAAACCCTAAACCCTAAACCCTAAACCCTAAACCCTAAACCCTAAACCCTAAACCCTAAACCCTAAACCCTACACCCTAAACCCTAAACCACAAACCCCAAACCCTAAACCCCAAGCACTAAACCCTAAACCTTAAACCCTAAACCCTAAACCCTAAACCCCTAAACCTCTAAACCCTAAACCCGAAACCTCTCCTCGGGCCAGGTTGAGAGCTTCGACCCCACATCCGTCTTGAATCTGGAGATGGTCGAGGTTAGCATGGCCCTTGCTCAAGACACAGCATGGGGTCTAGGGTTTAGGGTTTAGGGTTTAGGGCTTAGGGCCAGGTAGAGCTTACTGTGCTTTCTGTTCTATGTTTAAGAGCGTTCCCTGAACAGTGTAGGAGCCTGCTCAACTCGAGTTTCTAATGGGTTTTTCCCGCAGTGCAATGGCTTTGGGCCATTGTAGTTGACGTGTCCGAGGTATACCCTAAACCCTAAACCCTAATCCTGTCTGGGACAAGTGTGCTCGTTGCATGGGTTTGGTTCGTCAGAGTATGGGGGGACCAGCTCTGGAGGTGTTAGGGTCCAGGGTTCAGGGGTTTAGGGCGAAGGGAATTTTAGGGCTTAGGGAGGATGTTGGGATGGCTATTTAGGGTTCAGGGCTTTGGACTCGGGGCAGGGGTGGGGGGGGGCTTGAGGGTTTAGGGCTTGTCTTGGCCCGACCTCCGAAACCCTCAAACCCTACAGCCCTAAGGCCCTAAATCCTCAAACCCCTGGAACGCCAAAGCCCTAAAAATCCAGAAGCCCCAAAACCCCTAAAATCCTAAACCCCAAACCCCAAACCCTAAACCCTAAACCCCAAACCCCAAACCCCAAAACCCTAAACGTCACAACGCCCTCGAACAAACGGAAGACCTGCCAGGTGATGCCTCGGCGCCTGCCGCTCATGATTGGCAAGAACAAAGGCCGGGCGGACTTTTTCTCATCGTCCCAAATACTCCCCACTACTGCCTAAAGCCTCCTAAGCTAAACCCTAAACCCTAAACCCTAAACCCTAAACCCTAAACCCTAAACCCTAAACCCTAAACCCAAGGAGTTTAGGGTTTAGGGTTTAGGGTTTAGGGTTTATGGGGGAGTTGAGTTTAGGGTTTAGACTGGGTTTGGGGTTTATCGGGTTTAAGGCTTCTAGGGAGTTGGGTTTACAGGGGCTTATGGGGCTTATGGGGCTTACAGGGTTTAAGGGTCTGGGGTTTAAGCCTTCTTGCCTTCGGGTGTCAGCCTAAATTTCTGCCATGCAAAATCCCTCATCGACCCTAAACTCCGAAACCCACCCTAAAGCCTAAACCCTAAACCCTAAACCCTAAACCCTAAACCCTAAACCCTAAGCCGTAAGCCCTAAGGTTTAGGGTTCAGGGTGTTGCCCTGAACGTTGGCGGCTTGCGGCTTTTTGAGCCCAAAGTGCCCTAAATGCACTAAATGCCCCATACCCTAAACCCTAAACCCTGAACCCTGAACCCTGAACCCTAAACCCTAAACCCCCGACCTTCCGGCCAGGCAATCTCACGCAGGGAAAGGCAGGGAACCAGCTGATGGCCCTGCGATTCTGCAAGGGCTTTGCCTTGCAGGCAGGGGCGGTTTAGGGTTTAGGGTTGAGGGTTGAGGGTTTAGTGTGTAGGGTTTTGGGTTTAGGGTTTAGAGCTTAGGATTTAGGGTTTAGGGTGTCTCCCGGGCGCGCGTGCTGCGAGCCTGCATTGGCGCATACCCGAAGAAGATCTCAGTGCCCCAGGAATGGAAAGTACACCTGATTCGGTCCTAGCATTCCTCTGCCAGGGTCGTGGTTATAATTGTCTGCACACTAACGCTTCGTCAGGACTTCTAGCCACTACGGTATCTTTCCTCCCCTACGACGCCCCGTTGTCTGAATGCGGTCCTTATTGGCTGGGCAAAATAGCATGTGATGCCATGGGTCTGTCGAGGGGGCAAGAAACACTTGACGATGTGTTGGGGGGTTTAGGGTTTTGGGCTTAGGGTACCCTAAGAAATGAATCGTGTCGTTTCCTGCTTCGGGGCTTTCGGGCTTTCGGGGCTTTGGGGGTGTTAGGGCGTCAGGATTCAGGGTTTGAGCTTAGATGGAAAGTGGTCATGTTCACACTCTACACCCCCCCCCCCCCCCCCAGAAAAAATTGCCCGAAACCCAACCCTGATGTACTCCAAGCCTCAAGCCCTAAACCCTAAGCAACCCTCCATCACACATGTTGGACAGTCAAAGTTACCCCTCGAAGCTGTCCGTATGCATGGCCATCTTGCCCAAAACAAGCCTAAACCCAAAGCCCGAAGGCCCAAAACTGCATCAGGATGCTGACTAGGATGCCCACTAGTGCCCTCCCCCTATTATTCACGCCCCCCCCCCCCCCCCCCCCGGACCCCCCACTATTGAATACCCCCCCCCCCCACCCCCCCCCCCCCCCCCCCCCCCCCCACGCCCCCCACCCCAATATACTATAGCAGAACTAGACTGGGGGTATTTAATATTAGGGGGGGGTTAATGTTAATGGGAGGGGATTCGTGACCTTTTTCCACTTTTTAGGGGCATTGGTTCCCTCATCACATCTCACCCTGGGCTCTTAGCTCGGGTTGGCAGGTTTTGAACTTTACCCCTGCCGCCCGATCCCCCCCCTGTCCCGTAACACCCCAAACCCGAACACCCTAAACTCCTAAACCCTAAATCCTAAACCCCCTAAACCCTAAACTTCTAAACCCGTAAACCCTTAAACTTCAAAACCCTAAACCCCTAAACGCCTAAACCCCTAAACTCAGAACCCTAGACTCCTAAACCCTAAACCCAGAACACCCTAAACTCCTCAACCCTAAACTCCTAAACCCTAACTCCTAAACCCCTAAACCCCTAACGCCAGGCGATGGACGCCAACATGGGATCCTTCATTGGGGAAGCCTTCAAGGCCAAGCCCTAAACCCCAAACCCTGAACCCTAAAACCCTAGACCCGAGACCCTAAGCCCCCCCCCGCCCCCCCCAAAAAAGGAAAAACAATATATACGTATATATATATATATATCTATATATGTATAAAGACATGAACGAAACATTAATAATCACAAAAACAGCAGACCCGACGAACCAAGAGGGTGAATAAAGCAACCCTGCGCCCAAGGCTTTTACAGGGGTTTAGGGTTCAGGGTTTCGGGTTCGGATTTACGAGCCTCTGGGGGGCAGTTTTAGCAGAAGGAAGGGGCCAGCGTTTTTGTGCACAGTGAGCATATCAACGCAGACGCCAGCTTGTGGAAAGCTGGTGTTTGGCAATCTGCAACCAGGGTGGCATCTGCAACTGTCTCTGTTTTCCGGGGAAAAGGGAGGGGGGGCGGGGGGGCGCGGGCTGGGTGGGTGAGGGGAAATACCCTGTGGGGGGGGGGGGGGGTGGGTGGGGAGGAGACTTGAAATCTGTGGGTACATCTGTACACCCTAAACCCTAAAGGCCTTGTATCGCCTATAAAGCCTACTAAGCCCCCGAGAAAGATGCCTAGAGTACCCCCTCATGAATAAGCATCGCCTTTATATTTATATTTTTGTTGGGGGGGTGGTTTCTTAAGCAAGTAGTAGTAGCCCTATAAACCCGAAATCCTAAACCCCGAACCCTGAACCCTGTACCGCCCATAAATCTCAAAGGTGCCAATGGTCTTGAAGCGCTTTCAGCCGCGCTTCTACAGCCGGGATCGCGTGATGGCGAGGCTGCGTTTGCGTCCGGTTTGGGGTTAGGGTTTAGGGTTTAGGGTTTAGGGTTTAGGGTTTAGGGTCTAGGGTCTAGGGTTTAGGGCTTCGGGTTTAGGGTTCTCGGTTCAGGGGCTTCAGGGGGTTTAGTGGAGGGTTTGCTAAGGGCCTACTAAGGGTTTGGTAAGGGTTTCGGAAGGGCTTGGGGAATTTAAGGCTGTAAGGATTTAGGTGTTTAAGGGTTTTAGGGGTCTAAGTGTTTTAGGGCTTTGGTTTAAGGGATTTGGGGGTCCAAAGGTTTGGAGTTTTGTGCTTGTGGGGCTTACGGGATTTGGGCCCCCAATTATTGTCCCTATTAAGGTGTCAGGATAAGGGATGTCCCAAGTTTAGGGTTTAGGGTTAATTAAGGGGCCTCGGGGGGCTGGGATTGTTTCGCATCTCGGGAATTGCGGATTAGGACCTACAAGAAATCCCCAATTCTCCTCTTAGTGCAAGTCCTTTTTGGGGTTTAGGGTTTAGGTTTAGGGGGTTCCTTATCAACGGTGCTTCACATGAGGCTTTAGGCGCTTTGCTGTACACGATGGCCAAACCCTACAATTTAGGGTTTAGGGTTTTTAGGGCTTAGTATCAAGGACTGTTCGTATAAGGGGGAACATCCCAACCCGAAACCCGAAACCCCAAACCCGAAACCCTAAACCCGAACCCTGAACCCTGAATCCTGAACCCGAAACCCGAAACCCTAAACCCTAAACCCTAAACCCTAAACCCTCAACCCTAAACCCTAAACCCTAAACCCTGACCCCGACACAGCATTGGTAGGTTGATTGGCTTCCGCGAGCACATCTTCACGGTGGCGCACGGCATCTGCGGCGCAGGGGGGCTCGGTGAGCACGGGTTGCGAGGTTTGTTGGGTTTAGGGTTTAGGGTTTAGGGTTTAGGGTTTAGGGTTTAGGGTTTAGGGTTTAGGGTTTAGGGTTTAGGGTTTAGGGTTTAGGGTTTGGAGTTAAGGAGTTAAGGAGTTAAGGAGTTAAGGAGTTCAGGAGTTAGGGAGTTAAGGAGTTAAGGAGTTAAGGAGTTAAGGAGTTAAGGAGTTAAGGAGTTAAGGAGTTAAGGAGTTTGAGGTTTGAGGTTTGTTGGGTTTTGGGGGCTTTAGGGCTTGAGACGCAGGTTTCCATCAAACCGCAACGTACCCCCATGAGGTTGATCCAACTTGGGATGTTCCCCCTTATACTAACAGTCCCAAATAGGGATTATAGTCCCCCCGATTATAATCCCCATTAAGGACTGTTAGCATGAGGGGAAGATCCCAAGATCCAACCCTTACACCGGAAAGAATGCGCCAGGTCTGGGTTTCCCTAGACCCTATAGACCCTAGACCCTAAACCCTAAACCCTAAACCAGGCCCCCAAATCATCCAGCTTCAGGGCCCTTTTCAAGGCTTGTTCGTTAAAATAGTGGTAGCATAGGAATCCCTACTTCAGCCCAAGCCTCGACACCCCTCTAGAGACCCCTTAAGCCCCCGTAAGCCCGAGCCCTCCCCAAACCCCGAAACCTAAGGATATCAACGCCGTCGCCGAGTGGTGCTTTGGGACTTCCATCCAGCGAGCCTGACACTGAGTGTAGGGTTTGGAGTTTGCGGGTTTGGGGTTCAGGATTTGGGGGGCTTGGGGCTCAGGATTTGGGAGTGTACGGTTTGTTATAGGATCCAATCTGCCTGCTTTCCCCGAAGCCCAGGGATGTGAGAAATCAGGGTTGAGGCTCTCGGCCATGAACCTTTACACTCTACCTTACCCCCTCCTCTACACTGCACGCTGGGGCCTGGTGATTGGGAGCTCCCAGATTTCTTGGGGGGTCACATGTGTCTTTATGTGCCGAGACATCTGCCGTCCAAGCCAGGTGCAAGCTGCCCACGCCAAATCCCAGCAATGGCGCACATAGGAACCTTGAAGAAGGTCATGGATGGCTGCGGCTTCATCGAGAACTCCGATGGTTCGGGTGATGTTTTCGTGCACTTCTCTCAGTTGGCCCACGGCAGCTCCGATGACCTGATTGTCGGGACTGTGATGACCTTCGACATTCAGGAAGATGCGCGAAGCGGCGAGTCCAAGGCCACCAACGTGACGTTGCATGGCGGCTATGGCTATGCTGGCGACTCTGCCATCGGCTATGGCAAGGGCCGGGGCCGGGGCCGGGGCCGGGGTCATGGCGGTTACGGTAAGGGTGGCGGTAAGGGCAGGCCCGTGCCCGTGCCCGTTGGTCGCGGCCGCGGAAGCCGCTGAGAGTGCTCACAAGATGATGACACTTGCCTGTGAAGCCGACACTTTCAAAGACATTTCAAGATACATTTCAAGATGAGTCGGTGCAATTCTCCTAAACTGACAATGTATGCTGGTTGCCAAGCAGCTCCCATCTTCCTGCCAGATCTGTTGCGAATCTCTCCAGAAGCAGGCCCGTAGCCATGTTGATTGCCAATTCTAGGTTTAGGGTTTAGGGTTTAGGGTTTAGGGTTATTACCCTAAACTCCCCTCTACACCTACGACTGGTCTGGCAGTGGGAGCGCCACGGTTTTAAACGTGGCGGGCGCAAGCCCTGCACTGCGAGAGCCCTCGGGAGAAAAAGGAGATGCACACGATCTGTGTGCCATAGGGTGGCGAGGCCCTAATGAGCCTAGCCGAGGGTAGGCCGACTAGTCACTAACTAGTCTTTTGATTCCGGGAGTCTGCAAGAGAAATTCTCCAAGCAAGGCTTGAATGCCATAAGCCCCTAAACCCTAAACCCTAACCCCTAAACCCTATCACGCACCACATCACGCACCACATCACGCACCACATCACGCACCACATCACCCGTGCCGTGCCGCGACACACGCACCACATCACGCACCACATCACGCACCACATCACGCACCACATCACGCACGACATCACGCACCACATCACGCACCACATCACCCACCACATCACCCCACACGCACCACATCACGCACCACATCACGCACCACATCACCCGTGCCGCGACACACGCACCACATCACGCACCACATCACCCGTGCCGCGACACAGGTGTCGTGTATTCGTTTATTCAGGCTGGCAGGCGCGGCACTTACGGGCCCTGGACCGGAGGTTTAGGGTCCGGAGAATTTTATTCAAGACATTTTCAACGCTGCACCTTTCGAGCAGTGCTTCCGATCTCGGAAACCTTACAAGGAGCTCAAAGAAACGTGGAGATGCTCTGGTGAAGAGGGTCCGATCCATGTCGAGGGCCTCCATACCTGCGCGAAGCTGTCGCCCTGAATCCCACACCTGTACGCTATCAATTCCCCACATCCCACCTCCTCCTCCTCCCCCTCCTTCTCCTCCTTCCCTTCCTCCTCGTCCATGCACCCGCGCGCCGCGGGCCGTGCACCACGCACCATGCACACATCACACATCACGCACACACACCACGGATTATGCACCACGCACCACACACCATGCACATACCACGTTCACCGACGCACCAGACATCATGAACACTCTCACTTACTCGTCTTCACTTATACACTCTTTGCGAAAAGATTAACTTTGTATGTGGGGTTATCCGGTCCTTGAATTACTAATTGGTTCTGAAGTATGGGCCCTTGGGTTCCGGGTCTTTAAGGGCCCATACTGAGGGACCATGCAGCTACCGTAAGAAACGCAGTTTTGCCAAAATCCTAAACCCTAGAACCCTCAGCCATTAAAGCCCCAATGCTCGGAGCCATTTCACCCTATCTACCCTGAGGCACCCTAAACCCAACCCAAACCCTAAACTCCAAGCCCTAAACCCAAAACCCTAAACCCTAAACCCTAAACCCTAAACCCTAAACCCTAAACCCTAAACCCTAAACCCTAAACCCTAAACCCTAAACCCCAAACCCTACATCCTGTAGACCCCACCAAAGCTGAGGTCCAGACCTGGCTGGGCGTTCGCATGCACTATGGCCATCCCGACTTTGTGGCCGCAGCCCCAGCAGAGGTACCCTAAACCCTAAACCCTACAGCCTAAACCCTAAAGCCTAAAGCCTAAACCCTAAACCCTAAACCCTAAACCCTAAAGCCTAAACCCTAAACCCTAAACCCTAAACCCTAAACCCTAAACCCTATAGGGCTGGGTGGATTTTGGGTGCAAGCGTTCCTCGAGGGAGATTGGGAGTTAGGACAGTGGGTTTCCGAGGCGAAGGTGGCCCACACCCGAACCAGGATGTTTGGGTATGTTCCCTTCTTCTTGCGCAGCACCCAGTTTAGGGTTTAAAGTTTAGGGTTTAGGGTTTAGGGTTTAGGCTTTAGGGTTTAGGGTTTAGGGTTTACGGCAAATCACATCTTCTTTGGGGCAGTGGACTTTTGATGCTGTGCAACTAAGTCACGAACTTGCAGCATGCTCACGAATCAACTAGTTACTACTGTTTGCTTTCGAACCCCCTAAATAATGGGAAATCTTCTACCTTGTAAGGGCGGGATGTTTCCCCTTATACTAACATTATTTTTGCTTCAAACATCCCCACCCTCTCCTGGTAGAGATACTTTGGGGACTCTGGGTTGGGCACTCCAGGAGACTCTGGGGCTGGGCACTCCAGAAACAGGGGTTGGGCACTCCGGGTTGGGCACTCCAGGGAGACTCTCGGGCTCGACATTCTGAAATTGGGCAATCCAAGGAGATTCTGGGGGTCCAATTAAAATCTGGAGTTGGGTGCTCCAGGTTAGACTGGTTGGGGCACTCCAGAAAGACTTTTGGGGTTGGGCACTTCAGGGAGAGTCTCCAGGGAGACTGGGCACCTTTGGGGCCCCGGGCATGAGCGAGGAGTAGACCAGGCGAGGAGAAGTGTTCCGGGCGAGGAGAAGAGTTGAGTTTAAAAGCCAACAACCCCACGCCGAGGGTGGGGACAGTCCTTAATAGGGATCAATTTCGGGAGTACTAAGTATAGTTCCTATTCAGGACTGCTAGTGTAAGGGGGCAACATCCCAAGCTTAGGGTTTAAACGGTTTAAACCCGGGCTTCCCCCAGCCCTACACGCTGTAAGAGCTCATCGTCCGGCAGGACCTGTACTGGGCCCGGAACCGTGGGTCGATGAGTGCGGGACTGAGCTGTCCATGCCAAGTTTGATTTTGGGCTTTAGCGCTTTAGGGTTTCAAGGCTTTAGGGTTTGGGGTTTAGGGTTTATGGTTAGGGTTTAGGGTTTAGGGTTTAGGCTTTAGGGCTTTAGGGTTTAGGGTTTAGGTTTAAGGTTGAAAAAGCTACTGGCCATTCTTTCTACTCTAAGCTGTCAGGAAGGGATGGTAATCTAGATCTGAACCCAGCCTTGAAACCTCTAAGCCCAACACATATGAAGCAGGGTTTATATTTCTGTTTTTGGTGAGTGTATATAAGGTTCCTTTTTATTATTGGTGAGTGTATATACCTGGTGTCCTTTTGGGGGTACAAGAAATATATACCCTACTTCATATCCCGAACTTTCTTTGGTGGCTGGTTGATGACCCTTCCCTGGCCTCGGAAACCAGCCCGAGTCCAGAAGGGATTCCTCTGGGCTAAAGGCTTGGAAGCTCAAGGGCGTTTAACCCTAAGCCCTAAGCCCTAAGCCCTAAAACCCTAAACCCTAAAACCCTAAACCCTAAACCCTAAACCCTAAACCCTAAACCCTAAACCCTAAACCCTAAACCCTAAACCCTAAACCCTGAACCCTAAACCCCGCTACTCGTACCTTAAACCTTAACTTATAAGGTTGGAAGCGTGCGCCCTTGGTATGGTCCCTTACCTTAGGGATCCGAAGTACGGGCCCTCATTCTGTATAGTGTACACAAGGGTTGTACAACAAGGCACCAAAATTCAGGGACCACACGTCCAACCCTAGAAAACCCTAGAAAACCCCAGAAAACCCCAGAAAACCCTTGAAACCCTAAAACCCCTAAACCCCGAACCCTAAACCTGTGCTGAGGCAAGGCCACACCACACATCAACCTCTCGGAAGATATCTACCTCGGGTTCAACGCCTCGGGCCTACGCAGAGCCCAGATTGGGGGGTGTTACGAAAATAGGGGACGGGGGAAGGGTTTGGGGTTTGGGGGTTTGGGGGTTTGGGGGTTTTGGGGTTTTTTTTGGGGTTTTTTGAGGGTTTTGGGGTTTAGGGTTTAGGGGACCCCCAGTCTAGCCACCCCAAATAGTGGGATTCCCTTGTAATGTCGGAAACCCCCGGATCTCCCAAAAGCCCACGCTGCCTCGGTCTCGGGGAGTTTATGAAGCTTCGGGAGTTTATGGAGTTTAGGGAGTTTAGTAAGTTTAGGGAGTTTCAGGGAGTTTCGGGAGTTTAGGGGGTTTAAGGAGTTTAGGGAGTTTAGAGAGTTTAGGGAGTTTCGGGGAGTTTAGGGAGTTCAGGGGAGTCTAGGGCGTTAGGGGGGTTGAGGAAGTTTAGGCAGTTTAGAGGTTTAGGAAGTTTAGGGAGTTTAGGGGTTTAATTAGGGAGCTTAGGGAGTTTAGGGACTTTAGGGACTTTAGGGACTTTTAGGGAGTTTAGGGGAGGTTAGGGAGTTTAGGGAGTTTAGGGGGTGAGGGCATTTGAGGTCACGTCCTCAGATAGTCGTGCGTCCCCGACTCAAGGAAGCCGCAGAAGAGTTGAGTCCTTGGGATATAAACCTTAAACCCTAAACCCTAAACCCTAAACCCCTAAACCCCTAAACCCCTATACCCTAAACCCTAAACCCTAAACCCTAAACTCTAAACCCTAAACCCTAAACCCTAAACCCTAAACCCTAAACCCCTAAACCCCTGGTTGGAGTTTATTGCTAAACCCTCCACCACCTGGGCGTACGGTTCCGGATGTCTTTCGATTGAAGATCTCTGACTCCTGCAGCCCGCCAGACAGGGTTTGAGGTTTAGGGCTTAGGGCTTAGGGCTTAGGGCTTAGGGCTTAGGGTTTAGGGTTTAGGGTTGAGGGTTTAGGGTTTAGGGTTTAGGGTTTAGGGTTTAGGGACTTCAAGAACTTCCTGGCTCGAGAGCCCCAACGCACAGAAACTGTCGCCACCTTTTTAAATGGTGGTTGGGTTTGTGTTTGTAAGCCCAAGACAAGATGGTTGTGTTGCCCCTCAACCTAACCTTAAACCCTAAACACCAAAACCCTCAATCCTAAACCCTAAACCCTAAACCCTTAACCCTAAACCCTAATCCTAAACCCTAAACCCTTAATTGTTGTGTAAATATGAGCTTCTTAGTCAAGGACAGGCAAGGGTGTGAGTTGAAAGGGAGCTCAACCTCGGCTGCCCAGTGCTACCCTAGCTTCACCGTTTTTTTTTTCTTTCCGTGCAAGGTTCGCTATCAACCCCGTTCAGCAAACAAAGGGTTTTGGGTTTAGGGTGGCTACTAGGTGAGAAAAACGAGGACAGCGTATAAGGGTACCAACATGACATGGACCCTCGGCGGGATTTGGGCGTGGAGGGGTGGGGATGGTTTAGGGTGCAGGGTTTTCAATGGCCCTTACTGATCGGCTATCATTTTGTTTGCTCAAACTTGAAAGGCATCAAACCCACCGGTCCAAAGCGTAGAGCCCTCCGAAACCCTAAACCCGAACCCCGAAACCCTAAACCCAAAACTATTCAGGTCAAGAATCGTGGAGAGAAGTCAGACCACTTCGACTTCTTGGAGTGGGAGAAGGGCCGAGAGGCCGTCAACCTCCGCAGTGTTTGGGGTTTAGGGTTTATGGCTCAAGGGGTTTTTAGGTTTGGTTCAGGTTTGAACTTCAATTTGGGGTTGAAGATTTTTGGATTCAGGATAGAAGTTTAAGGAGGGGCTTGGGGCAGGTCTGGTATGGGTTTTTAGTATCGGGTTCAGTGTCTGATTGCCGGAGCATCCTTTCCTCAAGCTGGTGAGTGCTTCTGAGTGAAGATGTGAGACAATTCTGAAAAGCCTCAAGCACTCAACTCTCAACCCTAAGCCGTAATTTTCCCTATACCCCAAACCTTAAACCCTAAACCCTACACCCTAAACCCTAAACCCTAAACCCTGAACCCTGAACCCTAAACCCTGAACCCTGAACCCTGAACCCTGAACCCTACCACCCTGAAGCCCTAATGCCCCGATACCCTCTTGCGCCTAAGCCCGAGAACATGGCCGCATTGAAGGAAGGAGCCACGCAGTTAGAGAACTACCACTTAGGGCTTGGGGTTTGGGGTTTAGGGTTTAGGGTTTAGGGTTTAGGGCCAAACCCCAAACCCCTAAAGAGCTCAACCCTTGAGCCCATAGACCCCGAAGCTCTGAGCCCCAAGCCCTAAGCCCCTAAAGGTCCTAAACAGGTGTCTTTCAACGCGGCCAGCACCTTCTTGTACAAGATCTCGGGCGGGAACATCGGCGTCTGGCGCTCGAAGGCCTGGGGGGGTTTCAGGGTTCAGGGTTCAGGGTGTAGGGTTGAGGGTTTAGGGTTTAGGGTTTAGGGTTTAGGGTTGTGAAGCTCTACAATAGATCTCTATGTGCAGTTTCCGAGCTAGCAGGTTGAGGCTCCTGGCGGGGACAGCCCCTTCAAGCAGGCAGCTAAGAGTTCTCACAGTTCCTAGATCCCCCTTGGGAATTATTTTCTTTCATTTTGTTTATAACCCTAAACCCTAAACCCTAAACCCTAAACCCTAAACCCTAAACCCTAAACCCTAAACCCTAAACCCTAAACCCTAAACCCAAGAGGATATTAAACATATTATTTTTATCAAGGTTCCAAGAAGGGGAGTATGGGTTCGTGAAGACCTACGGACTGACCCCGAAGCCAGAGATTCACAACCCTGTCTTAGGTTGAGGATGAGATGGGTTTAGGGTTTAGGGTTTAGGGTTTAGGGTTTCGGGTTTAGGGTTTCGGGTTTAGGGTTTAGGGTTTAGGGTTTAGGGTGGAAGCATTTACAGCATGGAGCCTGCGAGTGCAGCACTCCTGAAGCAGTACTGCAAGGAAGGGCAGACGCTGGGGCTCTGCCAGCGCCTCCAGGTGATGAAGTCTGAAGGTGCGTGCAGAAGGTGAGCCTGTACACCAAAACCCTAAACCAGCCCTGGAAAGGAATCCTTCAGGGTGTTGAGTGTAGGGTTTAGGGTCTCAGCTGCGGTGTTTAGGGTTTTAAGGCGTAGAGTTTTTAAGGTTCAGGGCCACTCTCCGCCCGAATCGAGGACATCACCGAGAGCGCCATGGTCTTGCCCACCGCTGCGGCCCCAGAAACCTCACGCGGGCGCAAAGACCTAAATCCGCAAGCGCTGCTGGCACCCTAAGCCCTAAATACCCTAAACCCTAAACCCTAAACCCTAAACCCTAAACCCCAAACCCTATAAGCCTTAAGGTCCTAAGGCCCGAAGGCCCGAAGGCCCCGAGGCCGTAAGGCCCTAAGGCCGTAACACCCTAAGATCCTAAGGCCCAAGGGCCTGAGGCCCTAATGCCCTAAGGCCCGAACGCCCGAAGGCCCCCAGAACCAGCAGGTCAGGGCCTACAAGCAAGGGTTTCCGGTCTTCGTTTCAAGAGTTCAACAACCCCTAAACCCCAAAGCCCCTGAACCCCCTAAGCCCCCTAAACTCCTAAGCCCTCTAAACTCCTAAGCCCCCTAACCCCAAACTCTAAACCCTAAACCCTAAACCCTAAACCCTAAACCCTAAACCCTAAAGCCTAAAGCCTAAAGCCTAAAGCCTAAACCCTAAACCCTAAACCCGAAACGAATCCGAGATCGATCTCTTCTCCTTCTACTTCGCCACGGTGGGGTACTTCGTGTCTTTGACAATCATTGTCTGCGGCTCAGTCATACCCAACGGAGTTGATCTAAATCGCGGTCGTTTTGTATTTGTTTTGCTGGGGGGGGGGGGGGGGGGGGGTCTTAGTTGTTGTTGTTGTTCACCTTATGGGTGTTGCTCAAGACGGTGGGGCTCACGTAGATATAACCCAGTCGAAATTAATTTTTGTGATGCGCCTCCACCCCCACCCCCCCTCCCCCACATTTTTTCAGGGATAGAAGGCATGCGAGCGAATGACGCTCCAGAGCAGGGTTAGGGTTAAGGGTAAAGGGTTTAGGGTTTGAGGTTTGAGGGTTTAGGGAACCCCGATACCCAAGAAGTGCCTTCTCCCAACCGCAAATTCCGGACCTTAAACCCTAAACTCGAAACCCGAAACCCTAAACCCTAAACCCCTAAACCCCAATCCTTAAGCTCAGGACATGACCATGTACTTCTATGTTGGCTTTCACCTGATGCTGACGATGGCCTCGGTGTCCCTTCACGAGCCGGGCTCCAAGGTGAAGGGTTTGGGCTTCAAGCTTCGGGTCCCTGCGCCCTAAACCCTAAACCCTAAACCCTAAACCCTAAATCCCTGTGCCCCTAAACCCAAAGTACCTGTAAACCCTATAAGCCCTAGTTAAGCCTCCAAACCCCTCTGACCCTTCAGCCCCCGAACACCACCGCACCCTTAAACCTTAAACCCAAGTCCCTCGAACCTGCAAGCCCTAAACCCTAAACCCTAAACGCTAAACCCTAAACCCTAAACCCTAAACCCTAAACCCTAAACCCTAAACCCTAAACCCTAAACCCTAAACCCTAAACCCTAAACCCTAAACCCTAAACCCTTGGGTTTAGGGTTTCGGGTTTGAGGTTTAGGGTTTGAGGTTTAGGGTTGAGGGTTGCACTTGAAGCTGCTCGTTGGTCTTTAGCGGCCGAGGGCCTCTCGGATTCAAGGTTTGGGAGTTTTGGGTATCCCTAAACCCTAAACCCTAAACCCTAAACCCTAAACCCTAAACCCTAAACCCCAAAACGCTAAATTTTAAACCTCCAGATCACCCATTCGAATTTTGTAGGGTTTAGGGCTACGTAGCATGTACAACCGCAATATGCTGAGGAAAGCCCAGGCTGAAAACTCCCAAAAGTTGCTGCCCCAAAGCCCTCAAAACCCTCCAAAACCCCAGGTTTAGGGTTCAGGGTTCAGGGTTTAGGGTTTAGGGTTTAGAGTTCAGGGTTTAGGGTATCACCACCCCCAAACCCCAAACCCTCAACCCCAAGCAGCTCCTGTAGCGCTGGCCCTCACTCGTCAAGCCTAACAGAGCACGTCGCCACGCTTTAAATGTTAAAGCCGTCACGTGTCCCCAAACTCTAAACCCTAAACCCTAAACCCTAAACCCTAAACCCTAAACCCTACACCCCCTAAGCCCTAAGCCCGAAGCCCGAAGCCCGAAGCCCTAAGCCCTAAGCCCTAAACCCTGAAAAGCCAATCTACAAAGGCTCTGAAGTGCCGGCAACAGCAACCCTCGGCCTAAGGTACGAAGCTGAGCCCCAAGCCCTCAACCCCATAACCCTACAAACACTAGGAACCCTGCGAACCCTTTAAACCCTAGAGGCCCTATAACCCCTTTTTGACCCTGTGCAGCCGAAACTCGGAAGCCCTACAAGCCCCAACCCTAAAACCCTAAAAGCCCTAAATGTCCCCAAACCCTACACCTTGCGAAGCCCCAGAAGCCACTACACCCTAAACCCTAAACTTTGAACCTTAAACCCGAAAACCGAAACCCTAAACCCTGAACCCTCAAGCCCCCTGTAACTTGAAATTAATAAGAAAGAACCAAAAAGGAAACTCCTTGAAACTCCTCGAAACTTTCCTCGAAGCCTCCCCGGACCTGAACCCTTAATAATTTCAATAAACCCTAAACCCTAAACCCTAAAATCTAAACCCTGAACCCTGAACCCTAAACCCTAAATCCTAAACCCCAAACCCTAAACCCTAAACCCTAAACCCTAAACCCTAAACCCTAAACCCTCAACCCTAAACCCTAAACCCTAAACCCTAAACCCTACCCCGGAAGCCATGGATACTGATACCCGCGCCACCTTCGAGCGCGATGGCTTTGTGATGGTGCGCGGCGTGGTGGACCCCCAGAAGCTGGAGGAGCCAGCGAATCCAAAGCCCTTAAACTCTAAGACCCTAAACCCCGAAACCCCTAAACCCTGAACCATAAACCCTAAGCCCTAAACCCTAACCCTAAACCCCCAACCCCCCTAACCCATGATAGGGTCTGGGGCTTCGACGGCCTGGGACTTAGACTCCTATGCGATTTAGGGTCGAAGGACCCTTAAGCCCTGTCACTCCGACAGCTCCTCGGAAGCCCTGCTAAACCCCCCTAAGGGTTTAGGATTTAGGGATTAGGGTTTAGGGTTTAGGGGTTTAGGGGTTTAGGGGTTTAGGGTTTAGGGTGTCAAAGCCTCCCAGTCCCCCAACCCCTGAAAACCCTCAACTCCCCTAGCCCCCCAACCCTCCTCAACCCTAACACCTAAACCCTCAACCCTAAACGCCATAAGAAAGGAAGCCCTACACCAGGCCTTAACCCTTGAACCCTAAACCCCAAAGGCGTTTGTCCTTTAAATTTGTTCTAAGACTTTTATGGGGCATTCAGTGAGCGCAAGAAGCCAAAAGATAGGACATTTCTTCCTGTCCGGTAGATCCTATGAAATGCATTGGGGAAAAGGTAAGAATAAGACCAATCAATATTGAATGTAGATGGAATCGAGAAAGTGCGGATGGAAGCAATCATTTCTTGGTGCCAACAACCTCTTCTCCATAGCATATCCTTCCAGAGAAGATAGAAGTTATAGCCAGAGAAGATAGAAGTTATAGCCCCAGAGAGAGAACATAAAGAACATAGGTGCTACAACATCACATGTGCTGTATCATGTACTCATAGATCTTCTGAAGCATTTCCAAGTTTTATTCCTGTGGAACCACCTTTAGGGTTTAGGGTTTAGGGTTTAAGGTTTAGGGTGTAGGGCCCCTTTTTGGGGTCGTGGGATTCCTTTGTCAAAGTAGCCGCCGCCCCCCCCTAAAAAGGGTTTCTCATGAATTCTACGACGGTTGCTGAGCGAGAAAGCTAAAGAAAGTTACATGGCCCCCAAACCCTAAACCCCAAAACCCTAAACCCTAAACCCTAAACCCTGAACCCTAAACCCTAAACCCCAAACCCCAAACCCCAAACCCCAAACCCTAAACCCTAAACCCTAAACCCTAAACCCTAAACCGCAACTCCCAGCCGCAGGCCTTGAAGGACGAGCTGTGCGACCTCACCCTCCGCCTTGCCAAAGAGCGAGGCAGCTCTTCTGTTCGAAGCTTTTGGAGGTTTGGGGGGTTTCTTCTTGGGGTTTAGGGTTTAGGGTTTAGGGTTTAGGGGTTAGGGTTTAGGGTTTAGGGTTTAGGGTTTCCTGTAGCTCTAGGCCCGTTCGGCGCCGCTTAAATTCCATGCATAAGTGGTTCGGGGGTTTCGGGTCTAGGGGCTTGAGCCCTAGACGTAACAGGGTTGTTCGGGTTTCTTCAGGGTTTTTGGGTCTTTAGGGGGCGTTTGGGGTTACAGGGTTGCAAGGGTTCGACAAGTTTCGGGGGATCTTTGAAGTGGTCGCATCGGGGGTTTGGGGTTTATTTGAGGATTTCTTGGGTGTTTTGCTTGCGGCGTTGGGTTGCCAAAGGGTTTAAGGGTTTTCAGGGTTTTGGGTTTAGGGTTAGCTTTTTTCATGCATCATGTCCACATGGGTACCTTCCCAAAAAGGGGGGGGTCCCCCTAAAATATGATAGGAACCAACCAAGAGGGTACCGCCCCTTTATGGGAACCCACCGGCCAAAGGTGCAGAGGGCAAAGGTATGGGATGTGTGTTTCAATCCAGAAGGCGTAGCGTATGGCAGCCCCGCCGATGGAGCTTTCTGGCAACCCTAGGAGCATCAGCAAACAACATGCCCAAATCCTTCAACCCGAACCTAAACCCTAAACCTTAAACTTCAAGCTCCCAACCCAAGCCGAAAAGACCTCACCCCCACACCCTAACCCCTAAACCCTAAACCCCCATGCAGGATTAGATGCAGCTGATGCAAGGTTTTCCACTGCCGTGTCCGGCTTGGAGGCCAGGGGGCAAGTGGCACCGGGCACGCATCTTCATTTTGCTTACGGAACATAGGGCTTTAGGGTCTAGGGTTTAGGGTTTAGGGTTTTAGGGTTTGGGGTCTAGGGTTTAGGGTTTAGGGTTTGGGGTTTAGGGTTCAGGGTTTAGGGAGGATGCTTCAGGTTTCCTTATAAGCCCCTGCAAGCCAAAATGGCACCTTTGTTAATCCTAGGTGACTCTCGTGTCAAGGGTTTAGGGTTTTGGGTTTATGGTTTGGGACTGGTGGGCCTGATCTTCTTGGCGTGAATGTCTGTGGAAGTCTGTGGGTCCGTAGCGCAGTGCGCTCAGCGTGATGTTCAGCCCTAAGCCCTAAACCCTAAACCCTAAACCCTGAACCCTGAACTCTGAACCCTAAACCCTAAACCCTAAACCCTAAGCCCTAAACCCTAAACCCTAAACCCTGAACCCTAAAACCCTAAACCCACCAGGCCGCAGACCCTGGCTTCGGTGCGGCGCTGCACCAGGCGCGGGCTGCGATGACACTGCATTTAGGGCTTTGGGTGCTGGGTGCCAACGGTAGGGTTTAGGGTTTAGGGTTGAGGGTTGAGGGTTTAGGGTTTTGGGTGTTTAGGGTTTATATAGGGTTACGTCAGCGTTAAGGCAAGGGGAACCCACATGTGAGGGCTCACTGGGAAGCCATAGGCAGGGCATGTGGAGTCACTGGGCTTCCCCGCCTCCCCCCAAAACCCTAGACCCGAAGCCCTAAGTCCAAAGCCCTAAGCCCTAAGCCCCAAACCCCAGACCCCAAACCCCAAACCCCAAACCCCAAACCCCAAACCCTAAACCCTAAACCCTAAACCCTAAACCCTAAGCCCTAAACCCTGTCTTGCCAGAGGCCATGTCCCTAACTCCCGCGATCGCCGATCTCTGGCGCAGCCGGGAACTGATCGAAGCGGTCCACAATCTCACAGGCTGCGGCTAGGACTCCATGCATGTGTGGGGTTTAGGGTTTAGGGTTTAGGGTTTAGGGTTTAATTAGGGTTTAGGGGAACTGAAAAAGGTGGCCCCGAAAGCTAGACCCAGTATCTCCGAAGCCTTTCCACCAAAACCCGGTGGGAACGCTCAACTGGGAACCCTAAACCCCAAACCCCAAACCCCAAACCCCAAATCCCAAACCCCAAACCCCAAACCCCAAACCCCAAACCCCAAACCCCAAACCCCAAACCCCAAACCCCAAACCCTAAACCCTAAACCCTAAACCCTAAACCCTAAACCCTAAACCCTAAACCCTAAACCCTAAACCCTAAACCCTAAACCCTAAACCCTAAACCCAAAACCCAAAACCCAAACCCTAAACCCTAAACCCTTACCCCCTAAACCCTAAACCCTTAACCGGAGGTTGGCGCTCGGTGGCCGCCCACCCCATCTTCAACATCCGGCCGAAGTCTCCTTCTGCGCGAGAGCTCAACTATGGCCTGGTCGCCTGGGGGATTTAGGGTTTAGGGTTTAGGGTTAGGGTTTAGGGTTCAGAGTTTAGGGTTTAGGGTTTAGGGTTTAGGGTTGTTTAGGGTTGTTTAGGGTTGTTTAGGGTTGTTTAGGGTTGTTTAGGGTTTCGGGTTTCGGGTTTGGGTTTACGTAGGGTTTAGGGGGGCGCCCACTGAAGCTTTGAGGTAGGATATAGGGGTTTCGGGTTTAGGTGCTAAGCTTCAGGATGTTGCGGGGTTCGGGGCTTACTTGCGACCCTCCAAAGAGGTTTAGAGTTTGGTACAAACCCAAATCCAGGAATCACCCTAAACCCTCAACCCAAACCGTAAAGCCGGATGCCATCACCCAAGCCCTCAGCCTCTGCCCCCCCCCCCCCCCCCCCCCCCCCCCCCCCCCCCCCCCCCCCCCCCCCCCGATAACAGAGCTAGCACGCAATTGGTTGGGTGCCAAAACAACCAAAACCCTAAAACTTAAAGCCCGAAATGAAAATGCTTTAAGGAATGCTTTAAGGGTTTAGGGTTTGGGGGTTCAGGGCTTTACCGTTTGTTAAGGTATTTGGGGCTTAGGGGGTTCGGCTGGTGTCGGGTTTTCAGGTGGAGACTCTAGGGTTGGGTTTAAGGTTCGAAGGTTTAGAGCTTAGGTTGAATGTTTTGGGTTTCGGGTCTGGGGTTTAGTAGAGGGGTTTATGGGTTGTATGGAACCCATTTGGTAACACTAAACCTAAGCACCAAAGCCTCAACCATAAGCAGCTGGCCCGGCCCCGCCTCAGCTGGAATGAGGTCTTCACCAAGATCCCGCCTTTTGGGGCGAGGCCGGCGACAACCGTTTCAGGATTTTGGAGCTGGCGTCCTGGAATGCACGCCTCGGCCTAGACCCTAAACCCTCAACCTTTACAGGCTCGCCTGGTGAACAGGGAGCGCGTGGGGCCACGCAGCCATATGTGCCCTGCAAGCCCTCCAGCCACCATCAGCCCTCTAGGCCCTAAACACCCTTCAAGAAGGCCCTGTGCCCTCCGCCCTGAGCCCTCAACCTTTAGACCCTCCTAAGCCTGAACTAAACCCTAAACCCTAAACCCTAAACCCTAAACCCTAAACCCTAAACCCTAAAACCTGAACCCTGAACCCTGAACCCTGAACCCTGAACCCTGAACCCTAAACCCTAAACCCTACACCCTACACCCTACACCCTAAACCCTAAACCCTAAACCCTAAACCCTAATAAGACCTTGAATCCCCAAAGCCCTCTCTCAAGCTCCATGGTCAGTCTAGCCGTCCACCCCTTGAGCCTGCTACCCCAAAATTCCACAAAACCCCACGAGCCTCCTAAACCCTAAGCCCTGAACCCTAAACCCTAAACCCTAAACCCTAAGCCCTAAGCCCTAAGCCCTAAGCCCTGAACCCTAATCCCTAAACTCTTGGAGTCGAGGGATGCCGGTTGCTTGCAGCTTTGGCATTGTGGGATATGCCCATAAATGAGTAACACTTCGAAGGGCCCTATAAGGTACCCTCTCAAATCTCAAACCCTACACCCAAAAACCCCAAACCCTAAACCCTGAACCCCCAAATCCCTAAACCCTAAACCCCCAATGCCCTAGCGGTTGAGGGCTTCAGGGCCCAGCTTTGAGGGTTCAGCGTTTGCTTCTTCGGGTATGGGGCTCGGGGTTCAGGGTTTAGGGTTTAATTAAAGGGTTTCGGGGTTTAGGGTTTTGGGTTTAGGGTTCAGGGTTTAGGGTTTTGCGTTTTGGGGACTTTGTGTTCGGGCTGGTCAAGGCCGCGGCGGGCATCGATGTTGTCGCAGCCTGGCTGCCGCTGGTCCATGTCTCACGGGAGCACCATGGCTTGGTAGCCCACCAAGGGCCCATCGGACCCTTGTTTATGGGCATCCGAAGTATGGGCCCTGTTTATATAGAGTGTATAAAAGGCTTAAAGAACAAGGGACCCAAAGTAAGGACCGAAACTTCGGATCCCCGAAAACCCCATGTTGGAGAACTGGGTTTAGGGTTTAGGGTTTAGGGTGTTAGCGGGTTTAGAAGCATTATTTGCGCAACGCCGTCCAAGTTTTCAGGCTTTAAGGATTCACGTGTCCAGGGTTTAAGATTCAAGTTTAGGGTTTAGCGGGTTCAGGGAACCCCAAACCCTAAACCCAAAACCCTAAACCCCAAACCCTAAAAAACTTCGCTCTTCCCCAGGAATGGCACCCTCCAACTCATTTGTGGCTCCCACAAGAGGCTGGATGTGCAGGAACCTGCCTAAGTGCCCTAAACCCTAAAACCCTAAACCCTAAACCCTAAACCCTAAACCCTAAACCCTAAACCCCAAACCCTAAACCCTAAACCCTAAGCATTTACGGAATCCCAGGGACTCCAAGAATGGTAGCGTGAAGACTCTGAACACTAAACCCGAAGTCCTACACCCTAAGCCCTCTTCCCGGGTTGTGCGACTTAGGGTTTAGGGTTTAGGGTTTAGGGTTTAGGGTTTAGGGTTTAGGGTTTAGGGTTTAGGGTTTAGGGTTTAGGGTTTAGGGCTTGGAGACAGGTACTCAGGTTCTTTGGGTGGAGGGGGGGGGGGGGGGGGCAAGGCAAGAGGGTGAGGAAGGTTCAGGACCCCCAGCCCTAATCCCTAGCCCTAACCCCTAACCCCAAACCCTAAACCCCAAACCCTAAACCCTAAACCCTAAACCCTAAACCCTAAACCCTAAACCCCCTACCCCCTTAAACCCTAAACCCCGATCGGTGTTTTCGGAGGGCAGAAATTGTGCGTTTTTTTTCTGGAGAGGCTCAAGAACACGCACTGCTGCCTTGAGGGTTTGGGGTATTTAGGGTTTAGGGTGAGGGGTTTAGGGTTGAGCAGTTTAGGGTTGAGCAGTTTAGGCTTTGGGGTTTAACGCGAAACCCCAAAGCACACGAAGCCTAGCGCCCCGCCGCTTGACTTTCTTAGCCAGTGGAAGCCGAACCGAACCGAAGCAACCCCCGCGCTCCTCTGCACTTTCTGCCTCTCTCAGCTTCGAACATGACGTCACGGGATCTCAACTCAACCTCACTCATTCCTGCGGCACGAGTGGAGACTGGGAAGAGGCTCTCCCACTCCCGGGCATAATATAGGGGTCTGAGTAATTAGAACAGGGTTTTGGGGGTTCTTATAGTAATTACGGTATAGTTATAAAAACCCTAAGGGAATATTACGAGTAATTATTCCGACCCGCTTGAGTCTACGGGCCAGGCCCAGCCGTGGTGAGGCACCGGACAGAACTAGGACCCGGGGTAGGCCCTTTTTCCTTTTTTTCGTTTGGGTTCCCTTTTTATCCCCTAAAAACCAAAAAGGGCACCCTTTTTTATTCCTAGGCTACTCCTCGGTGTAGATAAGGGCTGTGTTGTTTTCTGCGCACTCCGTCTGCGATGCCTAATGGCGTCAGAGTGGCTGGAGCGGTCAACGCCCCCTACTCCCTCAAACCCTCAAGCTCAACAGCCCCCGAGCCTAAAGCCCTAAACCCTTAAGCCCTTAAACCCTAAATCCCAATCCCCAAACCCTAAACCCTAAAGCCCTAAACCCTTAAGCCCTTAAACCCAAATCCCCAAACCCTAAACCCCAAACCCTAAACACTCAAGCAATGGCTTCCAGGCCAGGCCTCTACCGTCACTTCCTCTCTCCCGATGGGGCGATGGCCCCCTTCCTCCCAGAGGTGGGGGGGGGGAATCAGAGTTCAGGGGGTTTAGGGTCTAGGGTTTAGGGTTCAGGGTTTAAAGGGCTACCTGGATCCCGAACTACCTATATACAATTGCCTGTTGTGGTGACCAAGAAGTAGTACGTGGGGGCTTTTGGCTGCAGGTGTGTACGGATCTAGGGGTTTAGACGAGCTTCAGAGGTACTCCTAAACCTGAAAACCCTGAACCCTAAACCCTAAACCCTGAACCCTAAACCGCTGGGGTTTGGTTCTGAGTAGGGGATGAGGGAATGAGCCTCGAATCTCTCAAAATGGGTATGTCTAGCGGGATATTGCATACTGCCCTCACTCCCTACTACGAACCTGGTAGGTCAACCCTAAACCCTAAACCCTAACCCCTAAACCCTAAACCCTAAACCCTAAACCCAAAACCCTAAACCCTAAACCCTAAACCCTAAACCCTAAACCCTAAACCCTAAACCCTAAACCCTAAACCCTAAACCCTAAAACCTAAACCCTAAACCCTAAACCCTAACCCCTAACCCTAAACCCTAAGCTCTAAGCCCTAAACCCTAAACCCTAAACCCTCAGCCCCTTGAGCCTCATACTCCGCCCAGGAGTCGTTGCCGAGCGGTGAGC